GTGGGTCCAGAGCCGTTTCCTTGCCCTGCTGACTCATTCCTCTTCCCCGGCTCTCCTTCCCCTGGGAGCCAGTTCCCTGTCTCTGCCCTCCCTCCCCTCGGCGATGTCCCTTCCTGACCCTCTCTCTCCTCCCCCCCGGCCCGGCCGCTCTGCTCCCCAGCCCCGGGGACACAGGGGCTCTGGAAGGGTGGGCAATAGGGCAGATGGGGGCCAGCGGTCGGCGATGGAGACAGGCGCGCGTGACGGAGCAGGTGAAGTGTGATGAGTCCGGAAAAGCGGGTCCTGCCCAGGAAACGGGGGATAGTTCTTGCTGGTCCGGATGCAGGGAGAGTAAAGCTGGGCGGGGAGGGGAATAAACCCCAAACCCAAGAAGCTAGGTTAAGGAGAATTCCCCAGAGCAATTACCAAATATCACTGAACACAGTGTAGCTGCTGAGGGAGAGGCAGTTCTTTATGGAGCTGATTGAGGATTCAAGAGAGGGGCAGGGGAGGAGAGGCTGGCTCTCCCACGAGGCTTGTTATTAAGGGCCGGGGGTGGAAATTGCACCCTGAAAGGTGACACGTTGCACCCACACAATCCATGAGGGACCCCGATAGCCCCCCACCGGTCTCTTAAAACTCCCTCTGTGCCCAGGCCCTTAGCGGGATGCTGAGACCACAGACAGACGGGAGAGAAAGCACTTTCCACGGCAGCAATGCCTGGGTCTTTCCCTCTGCAAGGCCCCTGGACGCCCCAGCGAACCTCCAGGGCAGGACCAGAGGCGGAAGTGGAAGAGAAACGGGCCAAGGCGGACCTGGTGGGTAGACAGCTGTTTGTGCCTAAGTTTGTCACCCCTGGGTCTCCGGCCCAGAGCTGGTCTGCTGCGTGCACAGGTCAATGAAGAGTGGAACAGAGGAGACATCTGAGCCACTGGCCACTGTGCTGTGGGTTCCACGGACCCGGGAGAGGCTGATATGCAGGTGGAGGGGCTGGAGGGGTGTGAGCTGAGGCCCAAAGGGTTGGCAAACACCGCCCGTGACCGCTTTGTGCTGGTGGGCGCGTGGTAAATAGGACCCTTCGGTCCTCCGCGCCGCCTTCTGAGCAGGTGATATTATCATCCGAATTTGTAGGTGAGGAATTAGAGACCCAGAGAAAGAGGGCGACTCGTCCAAGGGCAGAGCCATGAGCAGCGGTGCTGGGATTTGAACTGCAAGAGGGAACTAGAGATTTTGGCCCCTTCCTAGGATGCAACACTGTCTACAGCCATGGCGGCGGCAGCAGGGGGGAAGGAAGGGGTCAAGATAAACAGAGCAGGGGTGGATCGGCAGCGACCCCAGAGGGCGGGAGCTGCCCCGACCTGCAGAGCTGGGGCCACCTGGAAAGGGTGCGCGTGATGACGGCAAGGTTGACAATCACTACGGAGGGAAGCGAGGACCTCGGGGACGGTGGCGTCACCGCCGGATGACCCGATGAACGAATCGTGCTGTATGGGCCAGTGACTATTACTGGCCCATAAGAAGGATGAAACACACACAAGTTACTGCGTGAAAGGACCTGAGAACGCGACGCTGAGTGGCAGAGGCCGGTCACAAAAGGCCACATGTGCGCGATTCCACCTGCACTGAAATGTCTGGAATAGGGGAATCCCATGGAGGCAGAAAGGGGAGTGGTGGGCGCCAGGGGCTGGGGGACAGGGATGCGGAGTGAGCGCCCACAGCGCCGGCACCCGGAGGAAACGGAAGTGTTTTGGAGCCTGATAGAGGTGGGGGCCACGCAAGGCTGTAAACGTACTAAAAGCTACTGAACTGCTCACGTTTCGGCGGCTAATTTCACGCTAGGTGCATTTCACGTCAATCCAAAACCATGGAACAGGGAGGCTCAGAGTAAGAGCCCCCGGAAGGTAAGAAATTCCTCTTCCGCCTCCAGCGCCTGGAAGAATGTAGTGCGTAGGCACTTGGTAGCTAGTTGAGTGAATGAAAGGATGAATGTGATTTCCGGGAAACTAGTTTCTAGCAGTTGACAACTGATCGGGCCAACACGGAGCACTTCTCACGCATCAACCTTATTCCCACTGCTCTGTGCAAATTACTCATTTAATCCCCACTGTAACCCCTTGAGGAGAGGGCTGGAGCATCCCCATTTCACAGATGAGAAAACTGAGGCTCAGTGAGGCTAAGCGACTCTCCCGGGATCACTGAGTTCATGAGGACTGAGGCCGAGATTCAGACTCCGAGGGCCCGCTCTCTGGGCAGGGAGGCTCTTCAACTCCGGGCCGCCTCAGAAACGCTAAGTGCTGCCGAGCGGGGCGTCCAGACCAGAGAGGTAGAGCGGCCCGGCCCTGAAAGGCAGTGTCGTGTGGCCGTAAAGAGTCAGGTTTTAGAATCCAATGGTCAGTGAGCTCAAATCCTGCCTCTGCCACACAACTAACTGTGAGCTTTAGGCAGGGATAAAACGTGCCCGAGCCTCAGTTTCCTCATCTATAAAATGGGGGTGGTAGTAGAACCCACTTCTCAAACTGGTGCAAAGACTGAGACCATCAGTCAAATGCCAGCCTCACGAAGGTCACGTAATAAGCACCTGTCGTTTCCTCCCTTTGGGGATGAGCTCTTCCGAGGAAACCAGAAAAAGCTGGATGCACCCGGGAGGTGCTTAGGGGCTTGGGCCGGTCCTCCTTGTGTACACTGCCTCTCCCCTCCTCCGTTTTAATTTGCAAACTCCAGTGTAGACCCCTCTCCCCAACTGCCCAGTTTACTCTCAGGGATTTTGCTGGAAGAAGGTAGATGATAAAGCAAAAGGAAAGTTGCCCCCACCGCTGCACCGAGCCTGACGGAGGAGGTCTGTGGGTCCCAGCTGGGGCACATCTGTCCACCCGTGTGAGCAGATGCTGCCCGTCCCCGGGACAACGTGGCCCCCAGAAGCAGCTGGTCAGCTGAATGTCCCCGAAGGTAAATGCAAAACACCCAGGCAGGCGGTGGTCAAGAGAACATTGTCTTTTTATGTAAATGTGAGGACAGAGAGCCTCCCCAGCCTCCGAGCTCTCTAAACTATCTCAACCAAGAAACAGGGGCTCGGTAGGGTAAGCCTGTAACTTCAGCTCAGGTCATGATCTCACAACTCATGAGTTCGAGCCCTGAGGTGGGTTCTGTGCTGACAGCTCAGAGCCTGGAGCCTGTTTCTGATTCTGTGTCTCTATCTCTCTCTGCCCCTCCTCTGCTGTGCTCTGCCTCCTCTTCTCTCTCTCAAAAATAAGTAAACATCTACAATTTTTAAAAAAATAAACAGAGAAACACACTCTTTTGGAGGGCAGCACCTCCCAGCCTCTCTCCGGGCAGCAAACACACACGAACGTGGTTTTCACTAGGGGGAAGCAGGGAGATGCCCACTGGCCGTGGCCATCAGCCCCTCTTACCCCAGAAGCGGAAATGGCAGCCTGACTCCTGAGCCCAGACGTGGGCTGCTGATCCTGTGGGCCTCCCACCCACCTCTGATTTGATCTCCCGAGTCCCCAGCCAACCAAGCCTGGGTTCACACCCCCAGGTAATTTTCAAAGCCTAATGCTTTGAAAAGACCATGTCCCTCTGGGCGGGTCTAAATCCTGGCTTCGGGGAAATCCTGAGAAACAGGTTTATGGAAACCTCAGGGTCCCTCCTCAGCAGGTGGGATCAAGGGCACCTTTCTGGGGACGGGGGAGAGAAGCTACTTATTTTCCTAATTTTGTACCACAGTGTCCACGTGTAAATATTTCTGTGAACAAGCAGGCTCTTAAATCACATCATTTGGTGCCAAAAAATAAAACAACGTCTCCATTTGGAGCTAGAGTCCTTCTCTCCGGGGAGGAAAAAACGCTATTTGAAAGTCAAAATGTTTTGGTTGGTTTGCTTTAGGGGAAAACATTTGTGGGTTGCACAATATACATTTTATTCAACAGATATTTGATTGCCTACTCTGTGTGAGGCAGGGGCTGGTTCTCCATCTAAGCCCTTTCTCTCTGGAAAGTTCTCTGATCCTACCATATTGCCCTGGGATATATCTTTAAGGGAAGGGAACTTTTGTACACAGACAACGGTTATGGGCCATACACAGGGTACCTTATCTCAAATATGTGTTCTATTTATCAGTTCCCTCTGTCTACCGTAACGTAAGTTCCCTAAGTAGGGTAATGGGGAGCCATGGAGGAATGTAGAACAGGACAGGGACACTTTAAATTAGGAAACAATCCAGTTCTCAGTTTGAAGCTCTCCAGTAAACTTCCCAACAAAATACTAAATTCTTATCTCAGTTCTCAGACTACCTGGCCCCTGGCAATGGCGGGGCAGGGTTGTGGGGGGAGGAGTTAACTCAGCTCGGAGTTCCGATCCAGTGAGAGCCTGACTGGGAGGCTCAGGAGCCAAGTAACAAGTAGGAAAACTGAGGGCCAAGAATCTCGGCCTTAGCTCTGTAACTCCAAGAAAGCTAAATGCCCCGTGCCTCACTTTCTCCACCTGAACATGGAGCTAGGATGCCACAGAGGATACCAGCTCAAGAAGGGAGGGAAGTTTGGCCGGGGACGGCATGTGGCACAGAGTAGCTGCTCAGTAAACACATGACGAGTGCATTGAGCCTGTGAACCTTCCCAGCGATGTTACTCGTTTTACAGAGGGGGGAAACTGAGGTTCAGAGAGAGGAAGCAATTTGCCTGTGGTCACAGAGCTGGGAGAGGCAGGCTGGGCCTGCCCACGCCAGGAAGACCAGGGCTGGCTTTAATACCAAGTCCCTCCCTCCTGACTTTTGCCAGCCTTGGGCACTTCATGCGTCTTTTCCTCCAAAACGAAAACACAAACACAAACACAAACACAAACACAAACACAAACACAAACACAAACACAAACACAAACAAAAAACCATAAAACCCGCCCAACTGAATTGATCTCAAAATGCACACAGGCCCCGATAGATAATAATCTCTTTCTCTGTTGTTTTAAAAGACACTTATCACATTCACGGGCCCTAAGCCTGGCGGCCGGGCGGGGGTCCCACTCACCTTGTCCTCCTCGGCCCTCAGGTCGGGCATGGTGCTGACACACAGGCTGACGGCGGTGGTGGCCACGAAGAGGATGGACAGACAAGCAAAGACCTTGCCCGGGAGCCCGGAGCGCGGGTTCTCCACCGTCTCCCGCAGCCAGTTCATGAAGATGCCCCAGCGCGAGGGCTCCCCCGCCGGTCGCCCCGCCTCCCGCTGCAGGTGCAGCGCCTCCTGCTGGCGGAGCTCCGACAGCTGCTCCAGCCTCCGGAGCAGCTCGTGCAGGCAGCAGCGGTCCAGGTGCGCCTCCTCGATGCCCCAGTAGGCCAGCTCCTCCCGGAAGGCCAGCACGCACGTCTCCCGCAGCAGCGCCAGCCTGCCGGCCGCCAGGAAGCTCACGATCATGCCGAAGGCGCTGGGGCTCCGGTCGAAGAAGAACTCCTGGCTGTCTTCGTCGTAGTCGTCGCAGAGCTGCGCGATCTCCTCGTGGCTGCGGCAGAACTTGAGCTTGCTCAGGCGGCTCAGCGGGAACGCGTCCAGCGTGCTCCAGGGGAGGGCGTACCGCCGGCCGCCCACGTTGACCCTGACCTCCCTCGTCAGGTCCGCCGCGGGCGAGGCGCCCAGCGCGCCCACCTTGCGCGCCCTGCGGTAGTAAAGCCCCTTAAGGGAGCGCGGCGGCCTGGGGCCGGGCAACAGCGGAGTCAGGGGGCTGCGGGAGCCCCGGGGGCGGCGTCCAGGAGGCAGGCCCCCGGCTCTGAAGGGCATGGGCATCGCCGGAGTCGTCCTGCACCCAGGGGGAGAAGGGCGAGACAACCGGGAGAGATCAGCCTCAGGGCGGGGTCTCGGGCAGCTAGGACACTGCCTCACCACTGGGTCTGCATGGCTCGTTTTTCAAACCCTCCACCCCACAGAGACTTATTGAGCACCTATTATGCGCCTGGGATCTATCAGTGGGCACGAGGAGGGGATGAATGACATCCCTTCCGCGGTCAGAGCTGTGCTATTTCCAGGCTCTGTGGTCTTGGGCATGTGGCTTAACCTCTCTGATCTCAGCTCCATTCATGCCAGTGATAAGACTCGGCCAGTCTTAGAAAGTACAGTTGGTCAAATAGAGCTCCAGAGTGTAAGGGTGTCTCAAGTTCACTGCCAGGTTCTGATCCCTTACGGGCTACCAGTGCAGTGAGTAACCACTGCGGGTTGGTTACTCAGCCTCTCTGAGTCCTTTGCTTCGTCTGGCAGCTGGGGCAGTTTGAGTACCTACCTCACCGGGCACGGGGAGGGTTACGGGCAGTATGTACATGAAGTGTTTATTTAGAACACTTCTAGAGGCTTCTAAGAGGCCAGGCACCAATCTCCATGCTTCCTCCATCGTAACTCCTCTCAACAATTCCCCAAGGTGAATGTTAGTATCCCCATTTTACAGATGAGCAAACAGAGGCGCAGAAAGGTTAAGTAGCAAAGAATGTGGCTGTGCTTAGCCCCGCGTCTGACTCTCAGGAGCAGCTCCACAATGATCGTGTTTGCTTCCTCCTCTGGAGGACTTTGCCATCAATGACAGCGCCCCCTCCATGTTCACTGGGGAGCTTGCCTCAGCCACCCTTGCTGTGTGACCTTGAGCCAGTTACTCCCCCTCGCTGGGCCTCCGTCTTGTTATCTGCCAAGTGAAGGGACCTCTGATGCTCTCTCCATTTCAGACCTATCGGAAGCGCTTGGCTTAGAAGAGGGTTTAGATTTAGCCCCATGCATTTAGAAAACCGTCTCCACCACCTCTCTCCCCCCCAGCACCCTGGACCATTCCCTCTGCTCTTCATTCCAGCCAGAGCTGCTTCCAGAGCATCTGCAACCTTACATTCCAGAATGCACTCCAACCAAGAGAAAGACTCGGCAGCTGAATGGAAATAAAAGTTGCTCTCAATTTCAGTGCCAGTTGGATTCGGGCAGGCAGCGAGGACCAGAATCGCAGGCTGTGCATTTCACACTTGCTCGCCACGCAGCGCTCTGTTTACTCTGCACGCATCACTTCCTTTACAACGTTTGGCCAGAGGAAGATGCACAGTCTGCAGAGAGAAGACTATTTTGAAATCCGGGGAGTCCTTCCCAAGTGTTCTCATTTTCCGAGTACAAAAACCCCAAACCCAGAGAGCTGAAGGGACTCGTACAAGGTCACAGAGGGAATCCAAATCCAACCCCGGACCCTGTCTCCCAGCTCCAGGGCTCTTTCTAGACTCCCCCCCAAACCTGTCCTGTCTGCATTCACTGCACAAACCCAACTTTGCAATCCACTGCCCCCCAAAACAGCCGGCACACCAGGCTCTGCAAAGGTATTCATTCAAAACAGCACTTTGGCGGAGGCTGTAAGTTACACGTCCCGCAAGCCCCCCGCCCCTGCGGCAAACACTAACTTCTTCCCCCGGAGTGTAACTCACCTTCCTGTCTCTGGGAGCCCTTTTCCAGCTAGATCTCTACCTGGCAAGGGGAGCCCGTGTCTCGATGGCCAGGGAAGAGACAGGTTGGTGGTGGAGATGAAGGAGAAGAAAAGAAAAATCACACACACACACACACACACACACACACACACACACAGCCCACGGCAGTTTCTGGCAGAGTTAGTTTCCAACCTCTCTTGCCTTGCCTCCTCCCGGAAGCAGAGGGACATTCATTCTGCACCCCTCTCTCTCTCTCTCTCTCTCCTGCTGCTGCTGCAGAACAGCCCTGGGGCAGTGGGCTGGGGGCTTTTAAAGGACCCGGAAGCCCCTTCCCCGGTGAGAGGTGAGAGCCCGTGTGGTTCGTGCTGGGAGGGAGCCAGCCAGCTGTCCTGCTCGGGCAACGGCAGCCGGCTCTGCACTCTGGGCCCCGCGGGGACAGCCAGTGTGGTCCTGCAAGAGACGCGGGGGGGGGGGGGGACTGGAACGGCTTAGAAATAATCTCTCCATCACCAGGCTGCGGGAGGAGCAGCAGCAGCCCGTGCTCTGGCAGCCGCCTAGGAGGCAAGGAGAGCTGTCCTTCCCTCCCCTCCGAGGAGCATCAGAACCCAAAGGAGCAGAGGGCAACGTGGGGCCGGGCCATCTGCAGCTACCTGCCCGCGGCCCGGGGGCTGCTGCGCGTGGGGTGGGGGCTGCTGCTGCTGGGCTGGCGCTCGGGTAAAGGCTGCAGACAGAACACAACCGCTTCTCACGGGTCCAAGGACGGGTCGGGGCAGCGTCTGAGCGCTGGGTGGGCGCTGGCTGCGTGCTGGGCTGGGAGGAGGTGTGAGTGTGCGGTCACACGCACCTGGGTCCCCAGCTCCCGTGCGAATATGCTGGCTGACCTTGAACAGGGAACTTAGTGCCTCTGAGCCTCGCGTCCCTTGTTTGTAAAATGTATGGGGGTGAGGGGGTTCAGAGAGGTCGCACCCCACAGTAGAGGCTCCTCGGGCAGGTTTGGCTCCCCGGGGGATGAAGAGGAAGACGCCCGGCGCCAGGACCTGCCTCCTAGCCTGGGCTCTGCACTACCTTGCTGTGTGTCCTCGGTTAATCTCTTCACCTCTCTGGGCTTCCGTGTTCTCACCATCAGATGAGGGCAGTCCAGGCAGCGATGGCGCGGCCCGCGCAGCCATCTTCCCCTGCGGAGCTCGGTGTCCACTGGCACTTCTTAGTTTCCTTAAGAGGTTCTGAGCCCCAGTCTCTTGGCTTCCAAAGGTGAGCTATTCTCAGCTCCATTTTGCAGACAGGGGCCCGCAGGTCTGGGCAAGAGGTTTGCTCAAGGTCACCTTGCTAGTTGGAAGCTTCGCACGGCAGAGACTTTGAGGTCTGATCAAGGGTCCTGGAGGGCGGGAAGGTCTGAGCTCGGCGGGCCTGAACGGCTGCCCGGTGCAGGGCTCAGCGGGGTCTCCGTGGCCCGGGCTGTGGGGGTAAGTCCAGGCAGGAACAGAGGAGACGGAGGCAGAGAGGTGGTCGACGGTAGCAGCTTTCAGATCGCACCGTGTGAAGCCCAAGGGTTGTGTGGAAACGATCACGGGGTCTGGAAGGAGGGTGACGAAGGGTAGGACACGGGGATGAGAGTCCCTGCCTCAATGTGGCGGCTCCGCTGTGAGTACGTCAGTATCACTCCAAACACATCAGGGCCCCAGTGGCCCGTCTTCACACTCAGCCCACCCGAGGAGACCCCAGGGCCCCTGATAGGGATGGGCACGCTCTCCCCTCTCCCCACCCCGACTCCCCAGTTCTCTCAGGCCCCAGGGCTGCCCCAATGCCTCTCTTAAACCAGACTCCGAACGGATCTTTCCAGCCCAGGCTGTTTCCCCCTCTCCTCTCTCTGTCTCCCCACCTCCCCTCTCTATCACTGATCTCACTTTACCCTCCGGCTACTTGCCCCCCCCCCACCCCCCAAGCTTCCTCCCCTGCCTCGGGTCCTTTTTGCGGTCTGGAGTGCTGTGGGTTCCAATCAAGGATTTAACACTTCCCTGCTGGGTGACCTTGAGCAAGTTTCTTAACCTCTCTGTGCTTCAGTTCTGTCATCTGTGAAAAGAAATGATAACACCTACCTATTGCTTTGTGGTGAATTTTCACTGATGAGGCGCTTACAAGAGTGCGTGGCCTGAAGGAAGTCCCATTTAAGTACCTGGTGGCATTATAAGTATTATCTTAACAACTTTTGTCCAAGTCACAGGAGGGAGATTTTGTTTGAGGACAGGAGTTTAAATGAAGTTTTTCTTAAACATTTTTATTTATTTTTGAGAGACAGAGAGAGACAGAGCACGAGCAGGGAGGAGCAGAGAGAGAGGGAGACACAGGATCCAAAGCAGGCTCCGGGCTCTGAGCTGTCAGCACAGAGCCCGACGCGAGGCTTGAACTCATGAACCACAAGATCATGACCTGAGCCGAAGTCGGATGCTCGGCCGACTGAGCCACCCAGGCGCCCCTAAATAAAGTTTTAACTGCTGTTAGAAAGGATTTTTATTTTTTTTTATTTTTATTTTTTTAATCTAGATTTTATTTATTTTTTTCTAATTTATTTCTAGGAGAGAGAGAGAGAGAGAGACAGCGTGAGCAGGGGAGGGACAGAGAGAGAGGGAGACACAGACTCCGAAATAGGCTCCAGGCTCTGAGCTGGCAGTCAGCACAGAGCCCGACGCGGGGCTCGAACCCACGAACCGTGAGATCATGACCTAAGCGAAAGTCGGACGCTCAACCGACTAAGCCACCCAGGCGCCCCTAGAAAGGATTTTTAAAATAAAAACGGAAAGGGACTGATCTGGTACGAGCCCCTGATAACTCGTAGAGGGGCCGAGGGGAGACCGTCTGAGCTCTCGCGGCCAGTCCGTGGCAGAGCCTGGCTCAGTTAGGACTCACACTCCAGTGCTCTTCCCACGGCCCCAGGGCCTCCTGTCTGCACTGCTCCTCTGCCCAGGCTAGAGGACTTTGACTTGAGCCTCGTATCCAGGCCCACCAGCCCCTGCCCCAGGGCGTTTGCAGAGTCCTTCCAGGCTGCTTGGAAAAAGCCAATCACCTTTTAACTTAATGCCCCTGTTCCTCCCTGCTGTGTCTACTCAGCCTCAGCTAAGCAGGCGGGTCGCCTGGGCCCGGCCTTCCCAGCATCCTGCGGGTCTCGGATACAGGACCCCCTGGGGAAGCCCGTCCTCTCTCTTCTGAAGGACCGCAGCCTGCCGAGGATTCTCGTAAGTGATGGGCCACCGTGGCCACAGGTGAGTGAGCCCCCCGGGGCCTCTGTAACCAATCAGACAAGCGCTGTGGCTTAAAACAACACAAAAGAATTACCTTGCAGGTCCGCCGGCCTGAAGTCCAAGGTGGGTCTTAAGGGACTAAGACCAGCCTTCCTGCCGGGGGTGATCGGGGAAATGGATGTCTCCAGTCCCAGGGGCCGCCATGTTCCTTGGCTGGAGGCCCCATCACTCTGATGTCTCCTTCTCTGACCCTCCCGCCTCCCCCTTTTGAGGACCCTCGTGATTACCCCGAGCCATTGGATAATCCAGGATCAGCTCCGCATTTTAAGACCCTTAACCAGAAGTGCCAAGTTCCTTTTTGCCGTGTCGGTCACGCATTCGCAGGTCCTGGGGAAGAAAACGCCCGTGGCCGGCCCACATCCAGATCAGTGAAATCGAGAACTCCAGGGCGTGGGGGTCCACGTGTAGGGTCCCCGTGAAGGTCCCCCGGGGTGATTCTGACATGCGGCGGGGGTCGGGGACGGGCGCCCAAAGTGGGGGTGACGTGGTCAGGTAGGCGATTCCGGAGCTCCGTTCGGCTCACTCAGGTATTGCTCGAGGCGGCGCCAACATCGGCACAGCCCGTGTCGAGGGCGATTTGGCACAACTGACCAAAATAAGAAATGCTGGTGCCCTCTGACCTACAACCGTACGCCTAGGAATTTATTCTGCTCGTGCTAAGAGTCACGCGTAACGATATTCACTACAGCGCTGTTTGCGGTAGCAACGGATTGGAAATGACCAAAAAATCCCTCCCCGAGGCTCTGGTTAATAGATGCAGGTCATAAGCGCAAGAGAAAAGTCTGCAGCTGTTGAAAGGAAACAGGGCTGCGTTCATGTACCTGCCCCAGCAAGATGCATAAAGTGCAAGGTGCAGAACAGATCAGACACCAAAGGCGCTAGTCTGTGTAAAAATAGACAAGGGGAGTGTGTGTGTGCCTGGAATATTTATTTCTCTAAAGTGGGTAAAAAACTAGATACCAGGGTTGACTCTGGAGAGGTTTGGAGACGGGTAAGGAGGCGAGAGAGATTTCCTTTCCTCTCCGTGTCCTTTTGTTTTGGTTAGTTTTTTTTAAATCGATGGGCGTGTGTTGATTAAAAACAATATTTTTGAGTTAAATTAAAAGGCATCCTGGTATCAGTGGGGAGGAGAAGGCAGCCTGGAAGAGATCATTTATCAGAGCTGGCAGGAGGTGATACGGCTGTGAATAAGGCTGTGTGGCGCATGAGGAGTCGCCGGAATGGCAGGAGGAACCACATGGAAGGTGCTGGAAAAACAGCAGCTGGGGGACCTGTTTCAGCCTCGGTCAGCCCCCACCAGGGAGATCTGGTTAGCAGCCACGGCCATGGACCCCACTGGAATGACCTGATCACCATCTCTGGGTCACTGGGACCATTCGGCATGACCTCACCGGGGAAGCCGAGGCAGCTCAATATTTTCATTATGGACTTTCTTTTTTTTTTTTTTTTTAATTTTTTTTTATGTTTTATTTATTTCTAGGAGAGAGAGACAGCGTGAGCAGGGGAGGGTCAGAGAGAGAGGGAGTCACAGACCGAAAGAGGCTCCAGGCTCTGAGCTGGCAGTCAGCACAGAGCCCGACGCGGGGCTCGAACCCACGAACCGCGAGACCATGACCTAAGCGAAAAGTCGGACGCTTAACCGACTAAGCCACCCAGGCGCCCCTGGACTTTCATTCATACAAGCACATGCAGATCTTTTGCCACCGAGAGTCCCAAAGTTAAGGTGCCTCGGGGAGCCGGGTGGATGACACAAGGGAGGCCAGCTGGGCGCTGGGGGCGGGGTCACAAGCCCCCAACTCACGAAGGTGGAATGTGGGTCCAGTGTTGAGGATCTTTACATTTTCGGAAGAAGAGCCGCCATCCTAATTTTGATGCTAAATCTCTCAAATTCTAAACGCTGCCAGCTGACTCGTAAAAGTATAAAGCCCCAGAGAGCAAAGCCGGCGCCTGTCTGATGATCCAGCAACTCCAGTCCTACGGATGCCTGAGAACAGCATAGAGGCTCCCAACACGGGGAAAGCACAGCACATGTTGGCTCAACGGAATGCCAGACGGGGACGGGGACACACACAGGACCGTTTGCAGCCACTTGAAAAATCTCGGTCGGCTGTTGTGTAGCATGAAGGACACAAAAACAGCAGCCACAGCGGGACTCCATTGATAGAAAATTTAAAAACAGGGGCGCCTGAGCAGCTCAGTGGGTGGAGCGCCCGACTCTTGATTTCAGCTCAGGTCATGATCTCGTGGTTCCATGGAATGGAGCCCTCTGGGATTCTCTCTCTCTCTACCTCTGCCCCCTCCCCTGCTTGCGTGGGTGCTCTCTCTCAATAAATAAAATAAAATAAAATAAAATAAAATAAAATAGAAAATAGAAAATTTTAAAATGGGCAAAAAACCTGGGGGGCTCAGTTGGTTAAGCGTCTCACTTAAGCTCAGGTCATGATCTCACAGTTCATGGGTTCGAGCCCCCCGTCGGGCTGTGTGCTGATAGCTCAGAGCCTAGAGCCTGCTTTGGATTCTGTGTCTCCCTCTCTCTCTGCCCCTCCCCTGGTGGCGCCCTCTCTCTCTCTTTCTCTCTCTCTCTCTCTCTTTAAAAAATAAACATTTTTAAAAATTGTAAAAAGTAAAGATGGGCAAAACGAATCAAAGCCAGCACAATTACCTCTGGGGCCGAGTACTGGTTCTGGGGGCTGGTCTGCTGTTTCACTCCGAGAGCCGCTGATCACACACTGTGTCCAATCTGTGCAAGAGACGGGGAAGGTTAGTCTGTGTGTTGTGTTCAAATTGAAAAAGCTGTTTTGAGCAACCACAACGGAAGGACCCAGTAAAGCAGATCAAGGGGCTGCATTCAGGCTTGGGTTCCCTGTGATGAGCAGGTTGTCACAGGGAACAGCTTTGAAGCGGGTCCAGCCCAGAACCTCTGTTTTTTGTCGGCTACCTCTGAAGCCTGCAATCACGCCCAGTTCTGTGTCTTTACGTGGCCGATCCATCTGTCCCTCCCTCCCTCCTGGAATCCTAGGGTCCTGAGGACACGGAAAAGCCAGTGGTGAAGGTCTGCCCTGCTGCCTTCCAGAAGAGAGGAGAGAGACGGTGGGGCCATTTACAGCCGCCTCAGCTTCCCGTGTAAAAATATTGCTCAAGATGTAATTATCCACAGTGACGGACGCAAACTCGGTTGGAGGGCAAGTCTGTCCTCGGGCGGTTTGTAGACGTTGCTCACTGTCACTACCAAGGGGTATGCACTCTGGGCACAGCCGAGCTCTCCTAACTGAGTCCTTTCTGTTCGATGGACGGCCGCCTCCCAGGAGACGGAACGTTATTCTGACTCTCGGATTACGGAGCGGGACGCGTGCTGGGGTCTTAGCCCCCACCCCCCGCCAAGGCATTCATACCTTCTTGCGAGGATAGTTTTCAAACAAGCGGAAAAATTGCAAGCCTCGGCTCATAATTACTAGCATCTTATCATGAATATATTTGAATATATATATACTTTATATATGAATATACCGTTTTCTGAAGCATCTCAAAGTAAACCAGACTCTGTGACATTTCCCCCTGAATTCTTCAGCATCCAGAGAAACAAGGATGATTTTCTATGCAATCACAAAACCGCGATCACACCCAGTGTGATTTAAAATAACGAAGAGCTCCCAAATATCATCCGACTCCCAATTCATCTAATTCCCCTGTCTCCAAAACGTCTTTTTATAGTACAGCAGTTTCCCAAAGACCAAGATGCAATGAAAGGTCACGTGTGACATTTGCCAATTGCGTTCCTTTGCTTTTTAATCCCCAGCAGTCCTCTGTCTCCGCCCAGAACCTTCTCCCCCACCTCCCACCCCTACCCCCATGACACAGGCTTTTGAAAAAGATCAGGTCAGGTTGTCTGATTTGTCGACTGTTCCTCCTTCTAGATTTATCCTGCTGTCCCTGAGCGGCCCCCCCTCCCGTCTATTTCTGGAAATTAGGTCTAACGCATTGATCGCACTGAAGTTACCTATGGTTTTGGTAGGAAGGCTTCATCGGTGGGCTCGCTGAGAGCTCCTGACCCTTGGCTGTATCCCCCACCCCCATCCCGGTGATGCCAAGATGTATCGCCGGGTTAAGGCGGTCACCGCAGATGGGTCTGTCACAAGGGAACGCTTCTCTTCTGTGATTAACAGGTGCCCTGGGGTGATGTTTGGACCTAAGCACGTTCTTGTTTGGTCCTGTGGCACAAGGGACCTGAGGACTTGGGGGGCGGGAAGGGAGGGTGGGTGAGGAGCCCCGCTGTGCCCTCCCACCCACGTGAGCTCTCAGCGCTCACGGACGCGATTGTCACGGCTGAGAGATGGCACGCCTGGGGGCTTCTCCTTCGTAGCTCAGGGAGGGCCAGGCAGGGGCACGAAGAATGACCGGCACACCACCACTACCATCGGTGGCTGAGCGCTTTCTGTGCAACACACACCCTGAACGAAATACACATTTTCACCCTTCGAACTGCCCAGGGATCGGAGGAAGACCCAGTTATTCTCCCACTTCAGAGGTGGGAACACTGAGGCTCGAGGGCGTTAAGAAACCTGCTCTCAGCTTCCAGGATTCAACACTTGGATATTGGTAACCGTAATGAAATGACGGTTTTGTGACTGTTATGTTTTTGGGGTTGGGACAGGCGGCCTGTTGCAGAGATGCTCCCGCCAGAGCTCCGCGGCCCTCGGAGGCCGGTCACGGGAGGAGCGAGACTGGGGAGCTGAGGGATTTGGGGGGCCGGGGACAGGACACAGCTGTCCCTGAGGACGGCACATCGGGGAGACAGACTCACAACTTCCTATAACGAAGACAGATTTAGAGAAGTATTAATTGCAGTATAGCCATTGAGTTTGGGGATTACAGGGAAATTTGACACTCATTCTCTTTTTTTTTTTAAGAGAGAGAGAGCGTGAGCAGGGGAGGGGCAGAGAAAGATGGGGACAGAGGATCCAAAGCAGGCTCTGCGCTGACAGCGGCGAGCTCAGTGTGGGGCTCAAACTCATGAACCGTGAGATCGTGACCTGAGCCAAAGTCAGACACTCAACCGACTGAGCCCCCCAGGTGCCCTGTGATAGATTCTAATAGAATCCAAAGAAGATTTTTGCGGGAAGGGGCATGTGAGCTGGGCATGGAAGTATGAATAGGAGTTTGAGCAGCGACGCTGACACTGAGCCCCTCGGGGTGGAGGGAAGCGTGGAGTGAGGGCTGATGTGTACAGGAGGGGCCGTGTGCAAACGGGGTGTGTGCCCAGCAGGGAAGGACAGCCAGAGATTAGGTTAGAGTGAGACACAGGGGTCAGAGGGAGCGTGGCTTTGAACGACGGGTTGGGCGCTTGGATCTTATCCCAAAGGGATTACAGAGTCATCAACAGAATTCAGGAACAGGGCACCTGGGTGGCTCAGTCGGTTAAGCGTCCGACTTCAGCTCAGGTCACGATCTCACGATGCGAGCATTCAAGCCCCGTGTTGGGGTCTGTGCTGACAGCTCAGAGCCTAGAGCCTGCTTCGGATTCTTTGTCTCTCTCTCAAAAAAAAAAAAAAAAAAGAAGAAGAACTCAGGAAATATATGCTCATATGGGGTGGGGGGGAACTGGGTAGCTCAGTTGGTTAAGCTTCCAACTCTTGATTTTGGCTCTGGTCATTATGTCACAGTTTGTGGGATCGAATCCTGTGTGGGGCTTTGCTCTGACTGTGTGGAGCCTGCTTGGGATTCTCTCTCCCTCTCTCTCTAAACAAACAAATAAACTAAAAACAAAAGAATATGCTCGGATGTGATGTACCCCAGGGCAGTTACATCGAGGGTGGGATGGGAGCCTGGGGGACCAGGAAGGGGGGTGTGCGGAAGGGGCATGGATGGGGTGCGTGTGTGGACTGGGTGGGGAGTGGGGTGCAGTGACCCCAGGATTTGTAGTCTGCCTGGTGGAGCAGAAGGAGAGGCACGAACCCAAATGGGAGGCAGTGGAGGAGGAGGGGCCTGGGGGAAAGGGGGCGTCAGCCTAGAACTTGCTGGGTTACGCCCTCCCCCCCCCCCCCGCCCCGCTGCAGATGTTTGGGGATTTGAGTCCAGAGCTCAGAAAAGAGCTGGGGCTGGAAGTACACATGGGACTGTCCTCAGCATCCCCCCCCCCCCAGGACGGGGACTCACCCCTAGAGCCGTGGCTGCCCGGGGCAGGCAGGCTGCGTGAGGGAGATGCTGAGGGGCGGGGCTTCAAGGGCGGGGAATTGGGCTGGTCCCAGCGCGTCCCCCGCAGGACAGTGTGACACTCCTGCCTGTTCATGGGGGCGCCAGCGGGGTCCCCCGCCAAGACACCCCCCTGAAGAGCCCCGAAGAGCACCCCTGGCCCTGATCGGGGTTCCCAGGGATTCTGAAGGAAGAGCGGCCTGGCTGAGGGTCCCCGGCCTGGGGTCACGGCACCTTGTCAAGTCACGAATCATTTCCTGTAAAGGGTGAAAAGGGTCGTAGAGTGTCCCCTCCTCTGCCACCCCCTCCTTCCATCCCCCAGCCCAGGAAACATTTGTTTGCACAGCCTGTGGGCTGCTGACCCTCCCTGCACACGTGGCCACAAGGCCTTGAAGGAAGAGGGTGCCGTCCACCGAACGCTCAGGGTAAATGGGTCAAGGGCAGTCCCCAGGCGTCTGCTTGGCCCCATGAACTTGAAGTGCCAAGTGCCTCTTCTAGACCAAGGCGGGCCGGCCGGCTGGATGCAGCCTGTCCTCTCCCGGCCCCCAAGCTTCTTGCCTCCTGGCTGTGCCCCCTCTGGGACAGGCCCTTCTCTGCTCTGCGGCCCTGGAGGGGGACAGAAGTTGGCCCATCGCCGGGAGGTGTTGCCTTTGGGGGTCTTGTCTCATGGGACACCCAGCCTCCGAAATGCACCCTCGCCCCGCATCCAAATACTTTGCTTTGCAAAGATGCGAGAACATAATTATTCCTGTGCTTTTGAGATCGCTGGCTGCGAGAGCCCATTTAATTTACGGGGCACGCTCTGTACCTGCTCAGATGGGCCTCTTCAAAATGAGGCAATAAAGTGACACAGTGGTTTTAAGTGCAGGGAGATGTCTTGGCCGCGAAGTTGGCCAATGAACAAATGGATACGTTAACCGTATTAATAGCAGTTGGGTTTTTCCCTCATCATTTGGAGGCTTCGTTTCCAGAATCATCCGTCCTTACCAGGTCTCTGAGAAGCGTGAGGGTCCTGGGGTCCTGAGGGGTAGAGGGGCCTAACTGCAGGAAGTGGGGGGGGGGTGCGAGGACTGGGGGCCCTGGGGAGCCACGCGGGGCTGAGCGCACGTCTCTGGGCGAGGGGCCGCAGTGTGAAGGCAGGGACTCCCGTCCGGGGTCAGGATGTTCGGGGGAAGGTGGCAAGGGCCAGGTCCATCTGGCAGGGCGTCCACAAGGTGGTCAGGCCTCTGTCGCCAGGATCCTCAAGGGGAAAGTGAGGAAAAGCTGGAAAATAAGGCGAATGGATGCCTGCACGCGCTTCCAATGTTCCCCTACCTTGGACAGCAGGCCAGCTGAGAGATGCTTCTATTTCTTTCTCTACGGACCGTGTCTTTGTTCGGCTCCTTTTACTAGACATCAGGGCCTGATTCTGAAGCAAACGTGTTCACTTGCAAATGTGTCTGGTACAGGTGACCATGACTCCTACCTGTTAGTGAAGAAAGCCCGGTGCTGTGGTCCAGCTGCCCTGCGGGACGTCACCACTTCTGCATCTTTCTCAGCCTCTTCTGCATTCCTGGGTGCCTGTAAGCATGGGGGCCCCCGGTGCCTCTGGACCCCCTCTCCCACTGCGCCCTCACCGACGAGCGCAGTAGGTGTCTGACCCCTGTTCTTTCTATATTGGTGTGAGAGGCATTTTTTTAATTAAAGTATTTTATTTTATTTTATTTATTTTATGTTTTTTATTTATTTCTGAGAGAGAGAGAGAGACAGACAGCGTGAGCAGGGGAGGGTCAGAGAGAGAGGGAGACACAGAATTGGAAACAGGCTCCAGGCTCTGAGCTGTCAGCACAGAGCTCGACACGGGGCTCGAACCCACGAACCGTGAGATCATGACCTGAGCCGAAGTCAGACGCTTAACCAACTAAGCCACCCAGGCGCCCTTTCCTTTTTTATACAAAGTTCAACTACCATGTGGTGATCAAGTTTGCAGGCTCTAGAGTCAGAGCACTTGGATTCCAGGATCAGTTCTTTCCATTCCTAACTTTGTAACCATGGGTGAGTTACTTTGACTCTCTGAAACTCAGTTTCCTCATCTGTAAAATGGGGTTAACAATGGGCCAACAGCACCAACCTCAAATTGAGGATTGTTGTAAGGAATATTCAGGACAGGGGCGCCTGGGTGGCTCAATCAGTTGAGCGTCAGACTTCGGCTCAGGTCATGATCTCATAGTTCCTGAGTTCAAGTCTCACGTCAGGCTCTGTGCTGACAGCTCAGAGCCTGGAGCCTGATTTGGATTCTATGTCTCCCTCTCTCTCTGTTCCTCCTCCACTTGCACTCTCTCTCTCTCAAAAATAAAAATTAAAAACTTAAAAAAAAAAGAATACAGAAAGCAATGCATGTAGAGCACTTAGCATCCTTTCCATAAAGGGAGTAGCCAAGGTAAGGGATTATTCTTAGTGGTATTAAATATAATAATGAGTTTTTAAAGAGATAGCTGATCAAAGGTTGTATATGAAAAAATAAAGGCAAACAAAACTTTTTAAATGTAAAAAGAGGATGGAGTCTTATTTCTAATGTCCTGACAACAGCATTTTGTGTACGTGTGTCTGTGTGTTTTATAAACCCTGTTTTATTGCTGGAAAAATCTTATAATTTGCTTTCACATCTTTTTAAGGACTGTTTGCTCCAGACATTCTGCTTTCATGAAGGTTTTAAAAAATCTAGGGCAGTGATTTTCCTTAGAAGGGAGAGAGAAGGTCACCAGGAAAGAGTCCTATGGATTCTTAATATTCTAGAGTAAGTACTCAATCAGGCAAGATTGAGAAGCTAAAAGCAATAGAATAATTGACCTGATTTTTTAAAAAGTGCAAAGGCTTTGTTCTCTGCCGGAACACAAAAGCATTTGTTACCCTAAAAGGAGACATTTCTTTGACTTGCCTTGTTGTCAGCAGAAATTTTGGCTTTTGCTTTCGACACCTTTCATGGCTAAGTAAACAGGAGGGACAGAAAGACTATCAATTGTTTATTTAGAGCAAGTCTGGACAGGCGAAGGGTGGCACAGAAGGAGGGCGACAGTCCCCTCACCCAGCAAGATGGAAGACCGAGACCTTGGTCGCACGGGGCCGGAGAGCAGGTCTGGCCTGGGGCCAAGGACGTGGACGTGAACCTCGCTCTATTACAGAGCGTGGTGATGCCCCCTGGCACGGGGCTGGCATGGAACGGGCGTACCGGAAGGGCTAGATGGGCGGATCAGCAGAGGAAGTGAATGGAACAGGGGGAAATTTCTTGACCTCCATCCTTGACCTCCATCTTCTGAACTGTGCTTGGAAGCCAGGACCAGAATCCAAAGGAGAGGAGCATTTTCTAAATTTTCTACAATGAGCATGTGTTGTTTTCATATATTTGTACAAAATTTGCGTAGATCAGTCCAGTGCCCGAGAATCCACTCCCGTCTTGGCTCACGCGTCTCCAGACCTGTTTGGACCCACTTGGTGGTAATGCCCTGTGGGCTTGCTGCACGCCTTGCGTGGCGACCTCCACCCTCCCAACAACTTGGAGCTAAGGACTCCTCAGATGATCTTCTTACAGGTGAGGAAAGAAGCTCAGAGAGGTGAAGCAACTTGTCCAGGGTCACACAGTGGTGGTGGTGGGTCTGACGCCAGAGTCCTCGCCCTTCAATGTCCTGCTGCACTGCTCCGTCCTTGTACACATAATATAGTGAATTAATCCGCAAATATATTTTTTTTGTGATTTAAAAGCTGAATTTTTAATTTACTTTGTATTCTTATTTTTTTGCATGTAAAAGTGAGGGTTAGGGCCAGCTGACAGATCCAGAGGACCTGATGACTCCTTTTCATGTGGCTGAAAATGACAGTGGTGAGGCCACCTGCCCACAGGGGCCTTCTGGAAAGCACTGGCACTAGACTTTTATGATCACGGTGGGAAACACACAAAGCACAGAAAGAAACACGCCGGTGGGCCTTTGGGGCCGGGAAGACCAGGATGGCCACCTTACTGAGATCCCGCTCTCCCTGGCACACCAGGCTGTCCTTCGTCACCTCTGAGTCACAGGGCAGAGTTAACTCTCTCTAGGCTCTGCTCCTGGAGCAGTCGGGGGCCCCTCTAACCAAAAGGCACATGACGTCACAGAGCGCCTTTAGGCAGGGCTCTCTCTGGTGGCCAAGCAGGCAGGTAGTAAAGACCAAACGGAAGCCTCTGGAGCCAGTCTGCAGCCCTGACTGCGGAGGGATGCCCCGCCCCTCCCACGCTCCTCCCCCAGCAGCCCCGCCCCTCCCACGCCCCTCCCCCATAAGCCCCGCCCCTCCTACGACCCTCCCCCATAAGCCCCGCCCCCAGCTCCACGCCCCGCCCTCCAGCCCCGCCCCTCCCGCAGCCCGCTCCTCCCACGTCCCTCCTCCAGCCCCGCCCCCAGCCCCACGCCCCGCCCAGCCCCCAGCCTACCCAGGTGCTGCAGGGCGCTGGCTCACCTGTGCTGGGGGCTGAGAAGGCTAAAGGTCAGAGAGTAGCACTTCTTTAAGTCTTGCACCCCACCCCAGCCCGTCCAAACTCTCATTTGGATGGAGCTCCCTTCTAGAAGGTCAGTAATCATTCTGAAACCTTCAGTTACCATTTTCCATCCTGTGAGAGTGGCATTTAATTTAGCTGTAGCAGGAGTGTAATTGCGATAAGTTGCACCGCCTTACTCCGACGGCAGGTGTCGACGGCTTTGAAGATTAAAGTATGAAGCGAAATTAATTATTTAAGGAAAGCTCTGGAGCCGGAGACAGTTTAAACCTAGATTAAAAACCAGGAGTCGAAACTGTCGAAAAGTGGCAGCATGCTCTTCATGCTTGACGAAAGAGGAGTAGCAGCTGCATAATATACATTGTAATTTTCAAACTTGGACAACGTGTTTCAGTCTTGCTTGACCGGGCAGGTCTCAGACATGGCTGTAGCACTCCAATCTGACAGAAAAGGATGCCCAGGCCCAGAGAGGCTGAGTGCCAGGTGCTGGGTCACACAGCTTCAAAAGCCCAGAATTGGAAATTGAACCCAAGTTTAAAGCCTCTAGGACTTTTAGGGCCTCTATTCCTCTGGGGGCCAGTTCAATAGGAGAAAATGTTCATTACTGCAGAAAATGTTCAGTGAGGGGGTCCGTGGCTCTGGCTTTTCCTGTTTATGATGTATTGCTTTGTGGCCAAGGAACAACCATTTGCAAACGTGTTTAGAAAGGAAAATAAATCCCATGATGTCGATGCGGACACTTTAGCTATCAGGATTTACAAGGAAGACTTACTATAGCTTTGGGTAGGGTGTGGGCTATTAGTTATGGAGTTAACTGATGATAACAGCACTGTAAGGAGGCAATGGAATGGGTTCCCACAGCGCAGTTCTCATCCTGTGCGCGTGGAGAAGCCAGATTTCCATTTGAGTTTAGACTCATCAAGTCCAATTGTGTTCCCAGCTCGAAGCTATTAAGCGCCTGGGGTTGATGTAATTTTTAGAGGGTGAGATGCTTAGAGGGTGAGATGCTAACTGTTGCTTAATGCGGTAGAATTTGCAACCGTGGTTAAGCACTGGATAATTGGACAAACCCACACAGAAACCTCAGCCGAGCCTCCTCTGGGTGATGTGGCTTCAGGCAGGACTCTTTACTTCTCGGCTAAGCCTCCGTGTCCCCAGTCACCCCCTCGGGCTGATAGTAGCGTCTTAAGGAGAAGCCTGATGGGTGCCTCCTGAGTTTGTAGCAAGTGATCAGTAAACACTCAACCGCTGCTACTGTTGCCAAGGGCACTGGGCTGTGTGCACACGTGCGTGCACACATGCGTGTTTTAAGTCCATGAAAACAGCTAGAAATAAGGAATGGGATCTCAGAGACCTGGTTTTCTCATTTCAGTGCAGCTCATCCATGAGTCTGAAATCCCTTGCGCTTGTTTATCTTCTTTGGGCTCCAATTTCTCTATCTGGACAATGGATTTTAGGGAGATTATCTGTCAATTTCCTGTCTATATCAGACATTCTTCGCATCTGTTGTTCTTTTTCCATCTGCTATAAATGGCAAAACCTCACTGTGGGGAAGGAGCTGGTCACACATAGATTGTCTGTGGGAATGGGAGACGATAGGGGATTGGTGGGGCTTGTGGTAAAGGGAAGAGGGTGACTCCCATCTCCCGGGGACGCCACTGTTCCACAGCAGCTTGTCGCCGCCACATGGGAGAGCAGGCTTCACGATGCCAGATTTTCTTATTTGTTCAAGAGAACTGGAAGTACAGCTTTTTTATGTGAGATTTTGCATATTTCAATGCTGGCAGTGAATGCAGAAGAAGATTTAAATACCTGCTCTCCCAAACAAAACTGTGTGAGCATCAGACTCAGAACCAGCCCAGATTTGTGGTCCCTGAAGCAGCCACATCTCCAGGCCAGCCACTGTCCAGGCAAGATCACCTTGAGGACTGGGGTGGTCTTTTATTTTAACATGGTTTTATTTTAACATTAAGACCCATATGGTAGCCTTGATAGCACAGAGGAGGAGATGAGAAAGGTCCCTGTTCTAGAAATGGCTTGTCTGTTTTTAGCTCCAGGGCTCAGTGTGGTTGATGACGTCATCCTTCAGGGCTCTTCTTCCAGGCAGAACATTTCAGGGAAGCCGAAAGGTCCTGGTGCCCCTGAATCTTCCGCGAACACCCGGGTTTCCACTCTCTGTGGTGGGACCCTCACCCTCCTTGGACCCAGGCAGGGTCTCCCACCTCCTTCTGTTACCATTCTCTCATTGTGCCATTGAGTTTCAGAGTCCTTTGGGGTACTTTTCAAAAAAAAATCATATAAAAATATATGGATGAATAAATATTTACCAACTATACAAATAAAAATACGCATAATATAAAATTTACCGTTTTAACCATTGTTTTCAGTGCCTGAAAGACATCACCTGTTGTCCAACCATCTAGAGCTTTTCACTTGCCAAACCGAAACTCTGATCCCCCCTTCCCCTCCCCCCCAGCCCCTGCAGCCACCATTCTACTTTCTGTCTCTATGTATCTGAGGACTCCAGTGCCTCCTAGGAGTGGAATTATACAGTATTAGTCTTTTTGTGACTGCCTTATTTCATTCGGCATACTGTCCTCAAGGTCTATGTGTGTTGTAACAGGGTGTCAGAGTTTCATTCCTTTTTAAGGCTGAATAATATCCCATGGTGTGTATATACCACACTTCGCTTACCCGTCCGTTCATCTACCGCTGGACATTTGGGTGGCTTCCAGCGTCTGGCTGTTGTGAGTAACGCTGCTATGGACACAGGTGGGCAAACATCAGTTCATGTTCGTGCTTTCAGCCCTTTTGGAGATAGACCCAGGAGTGGGATCCCTGGGTCGTATCGTGGTTCTGTTTTGAATGTCGTGAGGAACCGCGATGCCGTTTTCTATAGCGGCTGTGCCGTTTTATGTTATTTCTAGCAACGCACCCAGTTCCAATTTCTCCACGTGCTCACGAACCCTTCTCCTTTTCTGTTTCTCATTTTTGTCAGAAAGAAAAACCATCCTAACGAGTGGCCCAAAATAAGGGACAGAGAGAGCGAACCTGAAGGACCTTGAAGAAGCTTCTGGAAAAAGTCCTTGAAGGGAAACAGTATATAAATCACTCAGTCGTTTGCAGCAAGTGCACAGGAGTTGTGCTTTCCAATAAAAGCAACTAGAAATCCAGTTCCTTGATGGAACCAGTACATTTCCAGTGCCACATGGGAGGGAGCTGGTGGCCACCATATTGGACAGTGCAGATCTAAAATGTTCCATCATCACAGAAGGTTCTATGGGGCAGGGCTGCTACGGAATTTACAAATGCATGCACACAAATGTATCTGATTTTGATGGCCAATATTGGCCTTGTTTACAGGAGAGCGAACCGAGGCCTGGGTGGCATAGAGCCTGAGCTAAGTCCACGCCACCTGTGGGAGGCAGAATGGAAAGCAGAGGCCCCCGGATTCCGGGCCAGTGTGCCACGTTTCCTCCCTGTCATGCCACGGTCACATGGAGGAGGCAGATGGGGGCAGGGGGAGGGAGTAGTTATAAATCCTGCAGCATTTCTCAGGATTTCTTTTGAAAGGTAAGTAGCCTGTGTGTTTATTTCCTGGGCACTGTGCTAATATGTCTCGTCTCGTGGTTTTTATTAAGTGTAATGGGCCAGATGTTCCTAGGATTATATCGCCCTCCTGGCCTGGTGGCCCTGACAGCCTTTGGCTTTAATCGGTTTCCTGACTGCAGCTGGCCCAGGAGATTTCATGATCTATGTAGCCAATTCTCTCTTCTGGTACGGCAGCATAATGTCAGCTGGGCACATGGCCGGGCAGAAGAAAGACTACGTTTCCCAGCCTCCCTTGCAGCTAGGTATGGCCATGTGACCAAGTTCTGGCCAATGGGATGTCAGTAGAGGACCAAGATGGCAGCACCTGGGGATCTTTTTTAAATTATTATTCTTTATGTTTATTTTTGACAGAGGGAGACAGAGGATCCGAGGCAGGCTCCGGTCTGTCACCGCAAAGCTTGACAGGGGGCTCAAACCCATGAGCCGTGAGGTCATGACCTGAGCCCAAGTCAGATGCTCAACTGATTGAGCCACCCGGGCACTCCCCTGGGGGATCTGTTTTAAGTGATGGCTGGCAGGCATGTGCCCTCTGTGGCTCCCATTCTCCCTCATCCCTTTCTTCACAGTCTCGCCTTCAGCTGTCACCTTGGTCTCTGAGGGCGAGGTCAAAGGGTAGGGATGGAGGAGTGGAGCAGAGTCACCATGCAGCCCTGAGCTGCTAGCATTTGGCCTTCCGTGTGAAGGAGAAACAAGTGGCTGCCTGCTCGAGCCATTGTTATTTGCAGGCAAATCCAGTCCTCACTGGCGAACAAGGTAAGGACAGCAGCTGACTGTACATCAGGCTCTCTCTATAAACTGTTCACACTCAGAATAACCTTAATAAAGTAGGGATTGTCAACTGGGGATGATTTGGCCACCAAGGGGACGTGAGACAGGGTCTGGGGTCCGTTGTGATGGTCCTGATCGAAGGGCATGTGCATCAATAGATATCTAGGGGACTGAGGCCACAGAGGCTGCTAAACGTGTACAGATGCACAGGACAGCCTGCACTTCGAGAATTACGCGCTTCCAAATGCCAACAGTACTGAGGTTAGAACGCTCTGGGGTTTGCTTTGTTTCGTTGCAAATAAGGAAACTAAAGCCAAAGCGCTTAGGTTACTTGCCAGTAGGTGGGTGACATAGCTTGTAAAGGGCAGAGTCAGGATTCAAACCAGGTGAGGGGTGGTGTGAACCCCGAGCAAGGCTTGGGATGCATTTATCAGGTCCCCCAAACACCCCGCGCGTTCTCACCTCGTCTCCAGGGGTCCAGCAGCTCCTGTGTGCAGGTCCTGGCTCTGCCACTGCCTGGAAAATCGACCTTGAGCTGGTTCCCTCCCCCCCTCGCTGGGCACCCCACTTACTTCCACTCAGTGAACGGGGGATGGTCAAGCCCACATCCCTGCTGAGAGTATTGGTGAGACCAGCAGCATGGCACTGACCTATCAGAGGGGAGCCGGGGACCCGGGGGGGGGGTGGTCCTAGAGGCCCCTGCTGTCTGGGGTGAGCCCCTCAGATTCCCCAGGCGAGGGATCATGGAGGCTGGTGGGGGTGCACTTGGGGTGGAGGGGGATGGGCTGTTTGCTAATTTGATGTGGCGGAAAGGTTTCTATACGTGCACCTCCTGTCTGGCCACTCTGGGATGCATGGGCCACCTGTCGGCCTGAGTGGACAGAGTAGAAACTGCTCAGGCTGGGAAGGTTCAGAAGATGGAGTCTGCAGAGCCAGTCTCCTTGAACCTCCAAGCTCTACCCCTGCTGTGGGTTTCAAGAAATAAAACACAGCCACCCCTCAGATGAAGGGTTAAGGGGGAGAGGTGATGTCCGATGAGCTCCACCTTAGAGCACGGGCTTTGCTGTGGCGCTCACGCACTTCCCACAGCTGCCCCGTGTGTGTGTGTGTGTGTGTGTAGGGGGGGGGGGTGTGTGTGTGTGTGTGTGTGGTGATATTTGGTCTCATTTTACAGATGAGGAAACAGCGGCTGGGTACCACATTCGGGATTTTGCAGCAGTGAACTCAGGCATCTACATAATCACCCTGTCGGGGGCAGGGGCGTGTCATTTGGGGGTCCAAGGCCATCTCAGATTTGCGCAGTCAGGAGAAATGGGGACAGGATCTGGCCTCAGGGCACATGTGGCTCAGTCGGATTGTTCAGCGGGCAGGGCCCCTGGAGTTCACCAGGGCAGAGATAGATGCATCACGACCTTGACCCCAGGGACCCGCCCTTGACCCTGTATGCACTCCCACCCTGGCTCCCTGGGTCAACCCCAGCTCCAGGGTCTTCGTGCCCCTCCTCCCCACTCCGTGGCAGGGTTGAGCGGCCTTTGGATCAGGGAGGTGCTAACGATTTGATATCTCAGCCCAGGGATTTAATTGATCCTTTAGCCCAGCTGGAAAAATGCCCTCCCTCGGCTGTTTTATCTTCTGGCTCTTGTCACCACTTTAATTATGCTAAGTCCACATCAGATGCCTGGCATGAGAGGGGAATTAAAAAAAAAAAGCCATCAGGACAGGCTGGGTTCCTTTTCTAGACGGTTTGAAACACAATTGCTTGTTATCACCCTCGGAATCACTAGCTCTCACCCGCAGATTAAGAGGCATCCCCAGAGGGCACTTGAAGTGAACAATGAGGCGTCTGGGAGCTTAATCTCCTCCACGGTCATGAAACCTGGCTTTTATGGGACCTCGCATCCTCCAGCCTTTAGTTTCTCTTCTCGGGCCATCAGCCCCCTTGGCAAAAATGGTGCCCTGGGAAAATTCATGCCTCTACAAAGCAGCTAATGGCGCATGAAGCCATTTCAAAATGTAACTAGAGAGACATTTCCGACATTGACCTTGTGCAGAAGGACGCTGTGGACACGACTCTGGGCTTTGCAGGTTTTGGAAGCTTACGGGTGGATGCTTTTGGTTTCTTTTCTTTCTTTCTTTCTTTTTTCTGTTTTTTTTAATTTTTCAAAAAAACCTTTATTTATTTTTGAGAGAGAGAGAGACAGAGCACGAGCAGGGGAGGGGCAGAGAGAGAGGGAGACACACAGTCCAAAGCAGGCTCCAGGCTCTGAGCTGTCAGCACAGAACCCGACGCGGGGCTCGAACTCATGAACCACAAGATCGTGACCTGAGCTGAAATAGGACACTTAGCCAGCTGGGTGCCCCTAAATGACAAGGGAACAGGGATGCCTGGGTGGCTCAGTCGGTTAAGCATCCAACTCTTGATTTTGGCTCAGGTCATGATCTCATGGTTCGTGGGATGGAGCCCCACATCGGGCTCTGTGCTGACAGCGTGGAGTCTGCTTGGGGTCCTCTCTCTTCCTCTCTCTCTGTCTCTACCCCTCCTTGGCTCGTGTGCTCTCTCTTAAAATAAATAAACCTAAAAAAATAAAAATTTGAGAAATGATAAGGGAATAAACATGCAAACGCTTTTTTTGGTAGGGGAAGAAGAACATTCTGGGTGGAGGGAATAGTGCGTGAAAACGATTGGTCTCGGAATGGCTTCGGTCGTTTGTGGGCCAGCAAAGCCAGTGAGGCTGGGAAGGTGGGGGAGCAGCAGGTGCTGGGCTGGAGAGGATGGAGCCAGGTGACGTGCAATGACAGTAAGCCAAACCGGTGTTCACCTCAGGGCCTTTGCACCTGCTGTGACCCCTGCCCAGAATGTGTCTTGACCGTCTTTCTGTACAGATGAATCTTTTCTCGTCACTTCCGTCTTGAGTTGTTATGCTGCGTAGCAGATCGGGTGGCAGTGCTCTAGCCAACTTATAACAAATTTCATTTTAACAAGGTAGAAAACTCGTTACCCAGGCCGTCTAGCTCGGAAGCAGACAAGCGTTGCTTTTCCATTAGGGTGAAAGCCACCTCGGCCTTCGGCAGTGGCAGGCTGCTTCCAGCAGGGGGTGTCGTGAGCCAGCCCCACATCCGCCCTTGACACCTGCCACCAGCTTGCTGATTAAGGGTCGGTTCAGTCCCCACTGGATATTAGCGGGGCCGCTTAGCAGCCTTCTCGGGGACCGTTGGAGGCTCCGATTCTGATAAATCCCCCCCAGTTTCTCTTTTTCTTTCTCTTCCTCTTTCTGCAAATTCAGTTGTGCTCGCTTGCCCTCCCCATCCTGGACCAGTTTTCCCAGACTGCTGCTGGGCTCACGTATCAGAGTCAGAGACGCTGGTCCTTGACCCCTAGCGACTTGAGAAACACGCACGGAGAACCGAATCCGGGAATACCCGTAAGTGCCTAGAGCCACGCTGACTCTCGGAAGCACTATTTAAAAGGAGCCTGTTTCAGATTCTGCATCTCCCTCTCTCTCTGCCCCTCCCCTGCTCATGCTGTCTCTCTCTCTCTCTCTCTCTCCTAGAAATAAAATAATAATAATAATAATCCTCCTTCTCCCCAAAAAAATTCTTAAAAAAAAATAAATAAATATGAGGCTGTTTTTAAATTATTAACATTGTCCCAAGAAGGTTATGAAAACCGCCAAGTTTGTGCAGGGGTGGGGAGAAGGACCTGAGAAAGCAGGCGTGAGGGACTGGCTACTCGCCCTTGCTCGGTCCCCGTGCAGTAAGCAGGTGACATTGGAGGTGATTGCAAAGCTGCTCTGGCCGAAGAAAAGGGGCTCGTGGTTCCCGGGGGGGCGAGAGCCTCACTTCCGTGTCCGCGCAGGAGCTGCCGCCTCCCTTCCCCGGGGTCTGGGCCCCGACGACGGAGAGTAGAATTTAGTGAGGAGCAGGGAAGGGCATGAGGGAGGAGGGAAGGGCAGCAGCGAAAGCAGGTTGCTGTGAGTGTGGCTGGGCTGGGTGGGCACCAGACACACGGCACACACTGAGGCCTCAGCACTGAGCTGCTCGGGGACAGTCTGGGCTCCCTCACGGTCATCGGGGAGCAGAGCAGCGTGTGGGCCCTTTCGCCAGCCCCTGCGAGGGAAAGGTCTCCTCAGGGAGGCCAGGCTGGCCCCAGGGTACAGGCGCTGGGCGCTGGTGTCGAAGCGGAGTCCTTGTTGCAGGGAATCCGGGGCCTAGGCGATTAGAGGCTCGTGGGGGAGGGGGCGGGGGGGGGGAGCTGTCCAGGTCTTGGGCCATCAGGTGACTTGGGGCTCATGTCTTGGGGCAGCAAATGACAGAACCCTCAGGTGACAGAGTTGTGATTATAATGGAGTCAGCTCAGCCATTAAGCAGATGGGTGATCTTGGGCAAGCCTCAGTTTCCCCATCCGTGAAATGGGGGATAATAACAGAACCTACCTCTTAGAGTTATCATCTGGATTCTGTGAGTGTGTGAAGGTCTTGGCTTAGAGAAAGACTATCTAAGTGTGATTATTCTTTTTTTTAATTGAGTGGTGTACGTGACCATTCCTTGTTTGTTTCAAGAAATCCTATACTTCTTTTAATTTAATTTTTTAATTTTTTAATAGTTTATTGTCAAGTTGGTTTCCATTAATTTTATTTTTTAACATATTTTATTTTATTTTATTTTTTTAAATGTTTTATTTATTTCTGAGAGCGAGGGAGACAGCGTGAGAAGGGGAGGGGCAGAGAGAGAGGGAGTCACAGACTGAAACAGGCTCCAGGCTCTGAGCCGGCAGTCAGCACAGAGCCCGACGCGGGGCTCGAACCCACGAACCGTGAGATCATGACCTGAGCTGGCGTTGGACGCTTACCTTACTGAGCCCCCCAGGCGCCCCTAGACTCACTTTAGAGCTTCCTGTGGTAAGATGACCACCGTCCACACCTAGCAGAAGTACTGTGCAGAAGTACTGGGTGCTCTGTTTTATTCCGCACAGTAGTCCTGTGGGCCAGACCCCATCACTCACCATTTGCTGGGGGAAGGGGGTGATCTCAGACCTCAGGGGGCTTTTCTGCAGGTGGCAGAGCTGGGATTTGAACCCATGGCCACCCATTCTCTTAGTCATACCTGGTCATTGTAGACAAATTAGAAACTGTAGATAAGATTCCATTCGCCCCCAGTTCTACCATCCAGAAAAAGTCACCACGAGCATTTTTGATGAGACATCCAAAGTTATAAAATGATGTCCGCTGTGCATCCTGGCTTGAGGCCTGCTTCCTGCCCCCTTGGTGTCCCGGTCAGTGGAGCTGGGTGCCCCCTGACACCACAGCTCTCAAACCCACCCCGTATTGGTTTGCATTGGTTAATGTAGCTGGGAAGGACTTTGTTATTTTGGTTGATGAAAGAGGGACAAGAGTTGAGAAGCTGTTGCTTGTTGAAGCACCTCTAAGTTGAGACCCTTTGGCACTTGTCAATTACATTCTGATTCTTGCAACAAGCAACTTAGTGTTCACCTCAGGGCCTTTGCACCTGCCACGCCCCCCCGGAACATGCCTTGACCTTCTCCCTGCCCAGGTGGTTTATTTTCATCACCCCTGTCTTGACTAGGATGTCACCTGCTCGGGGACCTCTTCCTGCCCACCACCCTAGCCAACTCGTTCTCACTGCCCATCGCTGTTTTCTTCGAAGTTTCCACCGCTCTGGGATTATCTTGTTCCTTCCTTTGCTTCTTGTTTGTAGTATGTCACTCCCCCCTTCCCCGCTTTAGAACGTTAGCTCCGCGGATCCCGGGGCCTAGAATAATGGCCCAGCACCCAGCAGATGCTCAGTGAGTAACTGTCTAACAGATCAATGGAAAATTTCTACCATCGCATTGGGTTCTATCAGCTTTTGATCTAGTCAGAGGAAGGAAAAGAGTAAGTTAGAGACGGGAGGCAAGGAGGAAGTCACCTGTGTGTGGCCGGGGGGGGGGGTTGCCGTGACCCCTGGATCCACCCTCCTCTCCCGCTCCGGGCGACGTTCCGAGGGGACTGACTCCTGCAGGCTCATGTCGCTGGGGTCCACCCGTGGGAGACCCTGCCGAGAGGCGTGCAGGGCAGACGGAAGGGAGAAGCCAGGGTGGTTTTCCCCATTTCTGGGCCGCGGATGAGGCCGTAAGCAATGACTGTGTCTCCTCCACGGCTCCCGCATCACCAGGGCTGTGACCCCAGACCCCGGGCCCGAGAAATGCCACCCCCTCTCGTCCCCCCCACCCCACCCCCCTCCGCCGCGGTGGAGAAGTGTTTCCTGTTACTGTCAGTCTCTGAGTTGCTTTTATGCTATGTAACAAAGGTCCTGCATGAATCCCTTTTTTTTTTTTTTAATTTGAGAGAGAGAATGAGCAGGGAGAGGGGAAGAGGGGGAGAGAGAGAGAGAATCTGAAGCAGGCTGCACGCTCACCGCAGAGCCCGACCCAGGGCTCAGTTCCACGACCGAGATCACGGCCTGAGCCGAAGTCAGGAGGCAGACACTCAACCGGCCGAGCCGCCCTGGTGCCCTGAATCCCTGATTTAAATACCCTCTGCTGCTCCCATTTCCCACCGGTACAAGCTCTGTGCTGTGGAACATGAATGGTATGTCCGTAAAAGCTCAGAACACAGTTGGCCGCTGATTCGAAGAAGAAGGTAAGACACGGGGCCGGAGGGGTGGGCTGTCCCCGCCGCTCTCCGCCCGCCGGGAGGGCGGCCCTGCCTGCTCTGCCAGGCGGAGATCACTTCCTGAATTTATGTGCCCGTCACACTGGCATTTATGACGGGACAGCTTGTTTTTGCCAACAGACCAGCATCCTTTTAGGCGGTGACAGATGTTGGCAGAAAACAGTGTTCGGCATGACTTAACCCCCCCCCCCCGCTGGGACAGCACCTGCCACGCCGCTGGAAAGAGGCTGCCATGTGCCCAGACGGACCTCATTCGTATCCTGGTCCCGCCCCTTGGAATCCGGCAAGTGTCTTCACCTTTCAGCCTCAGTTTCCTTTTCTGTTAAGTGGGGATAGCTTGGGGTGGCCGCCTCAAAGGGCTGATCTGAAGATTAAGGGGAGACCTATGCAACGTGCCCAGTACAAAGTGTGGCACATAGTAGGTGCTCAAGAAATGCCACTTTCCTCTACTCTTTCCCCTGTAGCCTCTGCTTTCAACGATGCTCATCAGCCAGGCTGGACGTGAACTTGGTGTGTATCAGTCAGGTTGTATTTGGCCGTCAGTAAAAAAAGCTCCACCTCGATCAGTTTAACGCTGAGGAAGGTGAGTTTGTCCCACGTAACAGGAAGCCCAGGGAGGATGGCTCCAGGATCGACCAGACTCAACAATTCAGCAAAGTCACCAAGGCCTCGAGGGTGTTTCCCCAGGCGGCCCTCTCGGTGTTGGCCTTCACTCTCCTAATTGTCCCCTCACGGTGGCAAAGTGGCTGCTGGAGATCCCGCCATTGCATCCTAACTGGGTAAAGTCCAGATGCACAGAAGCCCCGCATACCTGCATGCCTCTCCGGTAGGAGGACCACTTTCCCAGAAGTGTCTCACCTCATTGGTGCAGACCAGACCGCCGACCCGTTCCTGAACCGATCGCCAGTAAGAGGGTGCGCGGGCTACGTGATGGGCTCAGGTGTGGGGGATGCCCGGCACCCGCATCATTAGGTGGCTCTCCCTCGCAGGCCTGCTCCAGCCCCCCCCGACCCCCGTCTCCACTTCCTCCCTGGATCTCGGGATACAGTGAGAGCCTCCTCCTACCCCCCAGGGCCCTCCTGAGTTTATAGCACAGCAGGTTTGGGGCCAGAGGCAGGTGACCAGCGCCTGGAAGATTCTTCCTACCCCCCCCCCTTTAACGTGTTGGGTTCCTTCTCATCTCTGGGTTTGGATGTCACCCCTCGGATGCTGCTCCTCTCTAGAGGGGGCTCCCCAGCTGACACGGCGCCCCGCAGCGTCTGCCTCAGACTTCCGAGTCCTAGCACGTAGCACCGTGCACCTGTGTTCCTGGGCTGGACCGTCCCCTTCCTGACAGAGGGGCTCTCACGTGTCTTACACAGGTCCCATGTCGCCAGGCCTCTGTGTTCCGGAGTGTCCCCGGGAAACACATGAGGGGACAGGGGGACTCTTTACTTCCCTGGAAAGTTAAGAGTCCCCTCTGGAGGGGCGCCCGGGTGGCTTAGTCGGTTAAGCGTCCGACTTTCGCTCAGGTCATGATCTCGCGGTTCGTGGGTTCGAGCCCCGCGTCGGGCTCTGTGCTGACTGCCAGCTCAGAGCCTGGAGCCTGTTTCAGTCTGTGACTCCCTCTCTGTCTGACCCTCCCCTGCTCATGCTGTCTCTCTCTCTCTCTCTCTCTCTCTCCTAGAAATAAATAAAAATATATTTAAAAAAAAAAAAAAGTCCCCTCTGGAGAGGGACTGTGAAGTCCCCAGCTCACCCCCAGGCCAAGCAACCTGTCAGCGGCAGGGGGTGCCCTGAAGTCGGAGTTTTTCTGTCTTGGTGTTTTGTTTTGTTTTTCTAATGCCGTCCTTAGCAAGTAACACCTTGGATGGTTTTGCCCCCGCCTGGGCCACAGAGGTCAGAGGGGGTGAGGGACAGGCACTGGGCAGAAGGTCCGGTGACCAGACCAGCCAGAGGGAGCAGGTGCACGCAGGGGGCCGGCAGCCCGGCTTTTCCGCCCTGACGCGGGCAGGGCATGGGGCGTGGAGAGCGCCGTTCCGTTTCCGCTCGTCCGATCCTTTGTGTAGTTTGTTTCCTCTTTACTTTTGTGGAAGTCACGTTCACATTAAAAAAGTAACCATTTTGGGGGCGCCTGGGGGTCTCCGCCGGTTAAACGTCCAACTTCAGCTCAGGTCATGGTCTCACGGTCTGTGGGTTCGAGGTTTGTGGGTTCAAGTCCCGCTTCGGGCTCTGTGCTGACAGCTCAGAACCTGGAGTCTGCTTCGGATTCTATCCCCGCTCGCACTCTGTCTCTCTCAAAAATAAATATTAAAAAAAATTTTTTAATTAACCTTTTTGTTTTATTTGAGAGAGAGAATCTTAATCTTTTTTTTAATGTTTATTTTTGAGAGAGAGAGACAGAGTATGAGCGGGGGAGGGGCAGAGAGAGGGAGACACAGAATCTGAAGCAGGTCCCAGGCTCCGAGCTGTCAGCACAGAGCCCGACGCGGGGCTCGAACCCACGAACTGTGAGATCATGACCTGAGCCGAAGTCAGACGCTTAACCACCTGAGCCACCCAGGCATCCAGAGAGAATCTTAAATTTAAGATTAAGATTCAGATCATGGTAATTCTGTGTTCAGTTCTTTAGGGCACCACGGAGGATGCTCCCATTGCCGTTCTTAGCATCAGGGGACAGTTTTGTTCTTCCACGTCCTAACCAAGACTTGCTAGTTTCTGCACGCGTGTGCACACGCGTGTGTGTGCATGTGTGCATGAGCGTAAAGTGCTGGCCGTCCAGAGGGTGGGAGGGGACCTCTCACCGTGGCTTTGATTTGCCTTCCCCTGATGACCAATGACATTGAGCATCTCTCCACACACCCATTGGCCCTCGCGTGTGCTCCGTGGGGAAATGTCCGCTTGGGTCCTTTGACCACTTTTCAGATGGGGTCGTTCATCTTGCTGTTGTTGAGTGGCAAGCATGCTTTTAAATATTCTGCCCTTTTAATTGTGTGTCCCTCTTTTTTGGGCGTCCCTCCGGCTGCGAGGATTTGCCAGAATGCTCCAAGAAGCGTGTGTATGCTCTTCACACGAATCCACCGACGGCTGGGGCGTGGCCCTGCGTGGGCCATTGCAGGCTCCGCTGGTCAAGCAGGACACATTTGGAACCGGATGTGGAGGATGTGGTGGCCCCCGTGCCCACCGTGAGCTCAGTGACCCCAGGGAGGGGCGGCTTGTGCCCAAGGCACGGAGGCGGGGGGAGACAGAGCGCAGCGGTCCCCGGGTGCCGCGGTGGAGAGCGCAAGGCAGGCCACGGAGCCCTTAACCTTGGCTCGCACTTCCTGCCAGGGTTTATTCCGGGATGGCGGGTTTCTTATATAATTTTTTTTTTAACGTTTCTTTATTTTGAGACAGGGAGAGACAGTGCGAGCTGGGGAGGAGCAGAGAGAGAGGGAGACAGAGAATCCCACGCAGGCTCCGTGTTGTCGGCATGGAGCCCAATGCGGGACTCGAACTCACGAAACCGTGAGATTGTGACCTGAGCCACGATCAAGAGTCGGATGCTTAACTGACCCAGCCATGCGGCCACCCCTGGTTTTCCTTTCTCCTCTTTTAATTGTGCGCGTGTGTATGACTTATACGTACAGAAAGGCACGTGGAGCGTGTGTGGACGGGTTGGCAGAATCCGTCAGCCAGCACCCTGACTCCGCGCTGATTCCCTGCGGTCAGCTCCCACCTTGCAGGGAGGTGTCCCCTACTGGGAGTGTCTCTGTCCCAGACTGGGGGGCGTTTGGCAATGTCTGGAGACGTCTGTGGTTGTCACGCCGGGTGGGCACTGGCGGGAGGAGCCCCCTGGCGTCTGGCGGCTGGAGGCTACGCGTCCCTCCGCGCACAGGGCAGCCCCCGTGACAGAGGATGGCCCAGCCCCAGACGCCGAGGATGCCGAAGCCTTTCCGCAAAGCTGGCGGAGGGGGCGGGCGTGTCTGCGGCTCGGGGGGCGCTGTCTGGCCCGGGCGGTGGCTGCAGAACGATGACACGCTGGGGGCACGCGTCACTGCAGGTGTTGCCATCCATCCAGTCAGGGCGGGGACTTTGGCGCCGGGCGGTGGCGAGCTCCGGGGTCACTGACTGACATTAGGGAGTCCCAGCAAAGCCGTCTGGGCAGGAGCCCCGGGTGGGGAGCAGAAGCATCCATTTAGCCATTCGGTGAATGCTTGCTGAGCTCCTACTGTGCACAATGCGCATAGTAGGTGAGAAAGAAAAAACCCAAGGCAATGAAGAGACAGTCCCCGCGCTCGGAGGACAGTCAGACGTGGTCACAAGACACATGATTCCTACTGTCATGTCGCCGGGGTCCTACCCGCGGAGGCGCGTGGGCCACGAAGCCTGTTCTGGGGGGACCCTGCCAGCCTGGAGATCAGAGAACGTTCTTGGGAGGAAGTGGAGATGGGAGGAAGCCTGAGCCAGTTTCCTCAGCACAGAAAACAGGGAAGGGTGTCAGCGAGAGGGAAAAGCATATGCAAAGGCCCTGGAGGAAAGAGGCAGGCAGGTGTGTGTGTCTTGGGGAGGCCAGGGTGCTGCAGGAGGGAGGCGGGAGGGTGTGGAGGGGGACGGGGGTGCTTGGGGAGAGGCCTGTGGGTGTCAGGGCGCCTGGCCCTGGCTGCTTGTTGGAATCAGCCGGGGACTTTTGGGGACGACCAGTTCTGATCTCACTGATCTGGCTTTGACTTCTTTGGTCTGGGTTGGACCCAGGTAGGGGCTTATTCAATCCCCGCCTGCAGGAGGTGCTAGTGCACAGCCCGATGGTGATAGTCCAGGTCGGACCCCCAAGGGCTTTGGGATCATGCATTTTTGCCCCTGTCCTGACGGCCATGGCAGGGTGTTTGGCCTAGAAGGAGGGACGTGTAGGGGTTTCACGATGAGATTTGCTTTTTCAAAATGTTTATTTATTATTATTATTTTTAAAGTTTTATTTATTTATTTATTTTCGAGAGAGACAGCATGAGCAGGGAGGGTCAGAGAGAGAGGGAGACACAGAATCCAAAGCAGGCTCCAGGCTCTGAGCTGTCAGCACAGAGCCCGACGCGGGGCTCGAACCCACAAACAGTGAGATCATGACCTGAGCCGAAGTCAGATGCTTAAGTGACTGAGCCCCCCAAGCGCCCCAGAGTCAGATTTGGTTTTGACGGAGAAAAACAAAAACAAGTGGCCGAGCTGCGTGGAAAAGAAGCAAGAGAAGTCAGGTAAGAGCCCAGCCCAGCAGCTAGACGGGGCAGATGGGATCAGCGCCTCGTCTGGGGGACGAGGACCCTCCGGCCAGCGGCCAGCGTGCACTGGCTTCGCGGCCTCCCACTGCTGGGAAGGGGGCGCTTTCTCCCCCCGGAGCCAAGGGGTCACTTCCTAGGAGGGCTGGCCCCGGGGCCTCCGGTCACTCTGGGGCAAGGGGGGGCGGCGGGCGGGCTCGCTGGCGCGGGGAGAGCTCTCTCACTGGGAGGGAGGGTAAGTGGAGGTCAGTAACGGGGCGGCGGGGTGAACTGAGGTCAGGGCCAGGCTGTCCAAGAACAAACGGCCCAGGGGACATCTGTTTTCATTCACAGCCTGGAGCAGAGCTGGGCGGGGCGCTTCATAAGGCCCCCGGCCAGCTTGAGGGCCTTTTCCCCTTCGGGCCACCCTGCTCTCACAGAGGACAGGATGAGAAAGGTCTGGCAAGATCGGCGCTTCCCATGCACGCAGCGGGCTCATCCACAGCATCCATTTAAGCTTCCCAGCTTCCTGGCCCAGAGACTGCAGAGGCTTAGCCAGGTCACACAGCGCTGTTTGGATCCAGGGCCATCTTCAGGCCCAGGGCCCACAAGACGTCAAGCTGGCTCAGGAAGGTGACTTAATTTCTCATAAAATCAGAACAGAAAAAAGAGAGCAATCCAGCTTGGGTTCTTTCTGTCTTTTCATCAATGCACTTGTAATAGATCATTGTTAGGTTGTTTTTTTTTTTATTCATTTTTGAGAGACAGAGAGAGACAGAGCATGAGTGGGGGAGGCGCAGAGAGAGAGGGAGACACAGACTCTGAAGCAGCTCCAGGCTCTGAGCCGTCAGCACAGAGCCCGATGCGGGGCTCGAACCCACAAACTGCAAGATCATGACCTGAGCCGAAGTGAGACGCTTAATTGACTGAGCCACCCAGGCGTCCCACACTGTTAATTTTTTTTGCATAGAGCACGGGCCCAGGAAGGCAAAATCCCCGTGGGCACAGCGGTGCACTCTAACCCCGTCTGTCTGCCCAGGTGTGCGGTCACTTCCCCGGGGCGCGCCCTCCTGGGCTCCCCTGATGACCCCCCCCCCCACAGTGCAGCGTGGCTCTCCTGGGAGCACATGGTCTGGTGGTTTTGAGCACAGGCTCTGAACGCCGACATCAGCATGTGACTCCTGTCTGCCAATGATCCGTGACACGTCCTTGGGCAAGTGGTTCATCGTTCCGACCCTCGGTTTCCCTGTCTGTAACTTGGCGACAGAAAGCGTAACCACCTAGTGGTGTTTGGATAGATTCACTGAGAGAACATTTTTTAAAAATGTTTCTTTTGAGAGAGAGAGAGGCATGTGTGAGGAGTGTAGGGGCAGAGAGAGAGAGAGGGAGAGAGAGAGGAAATCCCAAGCAGGCTCCACGCTCAGTGTGGAGTCCGATGCGGGGTTCAATCCGACGGCCCTGGGGCCATCACCTGAGCCAAAATCAAGAGTCGGACACTTAACCGACAGAGCCGCCCAGGCACCCCTGAGTGAACGTTTTCAGCGCTGTGTGGTTAATCTCTCCGAGACTCCATTTGCTTGTCTGTAAAATGGGGATGAGAACAGCACCCGCCAAGTACACTTGTGACAGGTGCTGTGAATGTGTGTATTCAAAGCGCTCAAAACCATGCCTGACATTGAAAAGTGCCATCTAGCTGCTAATTGAAATCACAGTTTGATTAACATCTGACTCCTCCACTTGGCCATTAGCCCCATCCGGGCAGGGGCCGGGTCCCTTTGTAGCCCCAGGCCAGGCACTTAGTAGGTACTCGAATGTGTGAACCGCTGAACGAATGTGCCCTGGTCCTTTCTTGGGTCAGTATTTCTTCCTGCTTCAAGTCTCTTCCACGTCAGTATGGCGTACGGATTGATGTCACCCTGACCCCTTTCCTGGACTGTTTACGTGCTTGATCTGATCAGCACGGAGTGTGGCGTGAAGCCTCAGTGATCAGGCGGGGGCGGGGGGGGGTTGGTGTCTGATCAGGGCTGCAGGGCAGGGTTTCCTCCTGGACCCTCTGACTGTGACCTTGGCCTCTGCGCTTTAGAGTCAGGGCCCTAAGGACTTGTGCCCTTTATCTTTTTAAAGGAGACCGTTTCCTCTTTATGCAGAAGGAGGGAGGCCCTTGGCAGGCAGCCGAGGCCAGAGCCCGGGGGGGCCCCTCACTCAGCGCCGAGGACGAAAGGCCGCGCCAGCTCTAGATCTTCCCAGAGGAAGTGCGGCCCCCAGATCCGCAGGAAGTCACACGCGCGGGCTGGTGAGTCCCGGGCGGACAGCCCACGGAGCTCGGGATCGGAGCCAGGTCTCGGGAGCTCAGATAAACCAGAAGGGCCGCTGCCGCTCGGAACATCACGTTCTGACGCTTGGCGGAGAGCCTGGCGGGTTTTCCGGCCCCGCGATCACGGCTGGGTCCCGCTGGCACCCGCCCGGCCGTCCTGCCTGGCTGTCGGGCCGGGCTCTGGCCCTGAATCTGATCAAAGGAAAGCGTCTGGCTCCCTGGGCAGATTTGTTCCGTGTTTGCTTCTCTTCCTGGAGCCTTTCTCCTGACACCTAAGACCCGTTGTGAGCCGTCCCTGGGCTGTCACCGTGACCTCCCGTCCCTAAAGACTCTGGAGGGTCATTTTTATAACTTAATCTTTGCGAGCTCGGTGCCCTGGGTCCCTGTGATCGAATGCCGCTGCTGATTTCTCGGTGAAGAACACGTATTGAGCACCTACTGTGTGCCAGCCCCGTGCCGGGTACTGGGACCTTAGGGCACACAGCTGACTCCTGCCCTGCACCTCCATCTTAGGCGACACATACTTCCTGGTAGTGTCGTCGCGATGGTTAAATTCATCCCGTGCATCGAGCCAGTGCCGATGCAGGCGCGGCCCAGCGCAGACGATGAGAGGCGCAGATGCTTGACCTTGCAGAGCTGACACCCCCCTCGGGGGCCGCTGTAGCTGAGACCACAAGGTCAGTGTCACGGATGGAAGAACTGGGAGCCGTAGCCATGACTTTCCCAGGAGCGCTCAGACTCAGGCTGAGCTGGGGCCCCACGCAGGTGCGTCTAGAAGTCTAGAAGGCCTTTCCACCTTCCTTGGGGGCGTGTCGCCATGGGCAGATGGGCCGGGATCGAGCCCCAGCTCAGCCAGGCTGCCTGTGACCTGAGGGAGGCATCGCACCTGTTTCCTCACCTGCAAAATGGGCGTCAGCATCGCTGCGCACGGGCCGCAGAACGTTCCTGAAATACCGAGCGCGGCGCTTTTCCACACCCGCACAGAATGCAGGGGCCGGTCCCCCAGCACACTTATGACAGGTGTGAAACAGGCCACGGGCAAACCTTTGCTGACCTCTCCCAGGGACCACGGGACGCGGCTGTCCGCTCAGCCACACGACAGGGGAGGGCACCAGGGTTCAAGGCCGTGAGGCCTCCTTCTGCAGCCGTGCTCAGCCCGTCCCCATTCGGCACCATCTTCCAGAGAAGCTTCTATGGGCAGAGTCTGTCGGCTCAGCTCAAAACTTGGATGAGGTGGCAGCTTTGAGCCCCCGCCACCACTCCGGCCCGGCCCCCTCTGCCCCCCTCCCCCCGGAGCCAGCATACCCCCCCCCCGCCCCCGGGAGGGGCCCGAGCCTGCAAGGAAGTGCTCATTATCCCAGTGTGGCAGGGCCACTCCCGGCCACGTCTCCGGGCCAGCCCGGTGCCCCCTCCCCCTGCCTCCACGGTCTGCCCAGGCTGCAGACGTCTATGCTGGACTGCGGCCAGATGTTACAGGGCAAAGCTAAAAATAGGGCGGGCCGGCCACCGGTGGGGGTGGGAGTAGGGGTGGGGGCCTGTGCTGGGGGAGGACACGGCATCCGAGGGGCCGGCGCAGCGGAGCCGGAGTCCCGCGGCCCGTGCCCGCTTCTGCCCCCCGCTTGCCGGACGCGCCGGGTGAGGGGGCCCCTCTCCTCGGAACCCGGGGAAGGAAATGCCTCTTCCCGGCCGCGGGATGGGCAGCGGCCGGAGGAAGCTCTGGGCTCTGTGCTTGCTGCTGCTTCTCCCCGAAGCTGGCTCCGCCAAGAATATCTGGAAACGGGCATTGCACGCCAGGCTGGCCGAGAAGCCCCGCGTAAGTGCCCGGGGCCGGGGAGGCCGGGAGGCGACGGGCGACCCCCAGACTTGGGCAGGGAGGCACGTACAAGCCGCCCTCGAACGGCTCCTTGTCTGTAAGTGCAGGAGCGAAGGGCACAGCAAAAACGTGCCGGGGGCGGGGGCGGGGGCGGGGGTGGCGGTGACACGCCTTTGCCAACCGAAGTGCAGAGCGCCCGACCTGAGACTCCGAGGGCTTAAGACTGATTGTTGATGGTTCTCAACAATCAATTAACCAAGTGTTTATAAGAGCTAGTTAGGCGTTCGGGCGGCCATTTACTCATTCAGCAAACATTCGGTGGAAACCGCTCTGGGTGTGGGTACGACATGGAGACAGCGGCTCGCACCCTCGAGGGCGACGTGGTCGGGTGGGGGGGGGGCGGTCGGGTGACACGTGCTGGCCGCACGAGGTGTGCAACACCGCAGGTGGCGGGAAGGGTGCGCCTCGGAGCCAGCTGCCTGCGTTCGAATGCAGCCTCTGCTGCTCACCAGCTGTGTGACCTCAGGCAAGTTGTTTGACGTCTCTGAGCACCAGCTGTCTCCTCTGGGAAGGAAAGAGTGTTAGAGGGATGCAGCCCTTTCAACAGCTGGGTTTGCTCAGCCCTGTTTGCCAGGCGGTCCTCCAGGCTGCGGGCACACGGCCCGCGGGTCTCTGCTTCGGGGAGTTCGCGGTTTCGTGAGCGGGTAAGTGAGAAGGAAGGAAAATGCGGTGCGTTTGGTAACAAGCGCCGAGGAGAGAAATGAGGCAGGAAGGGGACTGGGGGAGAGACTGGGGGTGGAGGGCGTAATCCTAGTGCCGCCCCTTTCTGGCAGAGGGGGACAGGGGCCTGAAGGGGTCAAGGGGCAGCCCTGGCTCTCTGGGGACTAAATGACTCACCTTCACACAGCGAGCGCTCAGTGCCTCTCTGTGACTTCATTAAACCGCTGTGGACCGGGCGGTGCTTGCCTCCCCGGTGGAGTGCAGGGTCCTTGAGGTGAGGCCTGAATTTGTCTCCCTCGGTGCAGTGTTCCTGGTGACTGGCCGGTGTCTTCCATTTTGTCGGCACTTGCGAACAAGTTCCGGGCAAATGCAGTGGAAGCACAGAAGAATGTGTTCAGCTCTGCTCCAGAAGAGCCAGGGAGGGGCTTCCAGGGTTGGGGGCATTCAGCGTTGGGCTCCGAGGGATGAATAGGAGTTGGCCAGGCAGCTCTGTGGGAAAGGGGAATGTTTAATGACTCCTGCCATGGTGAGATGCTTGAACAGGTCATAGGAGACCGAGTCATCACGGAAGGCTTCCTGGAGGAGGGAAGATGCCAGCCAGATCTTGAAGAACTATTAAGGATTAGGAGGAGTAAGGACATTCCTGGTGTGGGCAGAGTGTGAGGCAAAAACGGTGTATCTGGGAGCCCCCGAGGGGCAGTCCTTACCACAGGAGAGGGTTTGTGCAAGGAGGGGGTGACTCCTCAGGTTTGATACCTCCTTGCTCTTTGCTGGCCCAACAGGGTGATGCACGTATCATCGGGTCCGATCTCCACTTTGTCCCAGATCGTCATGGGGACAGGATCTGCGACCTCACCTGGAGGAAGGGGGAGGCTGGGAGGCTGGGGACGATGGGCACGGGGGCCGGCGGTGGGGGGGGGGGCTTCAGAATCCAAGTGCCCTTCACCGCCGTTTGCTAGAACATGAGTGCTTCGAGCTCGCCCCTCCCTGGCCCGGAGCTGTCCCGTCACCAGCACACGTCAGCCGCCCTCCCCCATACTCAGACACAGGGGACGTTTGTGCCGATAACCGGCCTCAGAGAAAGCACCTGGGAAAAAACAGGCTGTTGACTTGTGGGCACCAGGCCCGGGGCAGCTCTAACTGAGCTGTGCAGCCTCGGGCCACTCACCGGCCCTCTCTGGTCATTACCTGCCAAATGAAGGCAGAGGACCAGATGACGTGCAGGGCCCTTACGAGTGTCCGACGGGGAAGCCAGGAGGGTGGGAAACGGCCCCTGCACACTCAGAAGCATGACCTCCCCGTGGGGCACCAACCGCCCCCACCTCCCCCCAGACCGAGTCAGGTCTTTGGCCTCAACCCCGGACCCCCGGGGACCGTGGGGCGGGTCAGGGTGAGGAAAGGCCGGGTGTCCCTGGTGTGCTGAAGCCAGCTCGCACCCGCCCTGGAGAGGTAAAGAGAGCCCTTCTTAAAATCGAAACCAGGGCGCCTGGGGGCCTCAGTCGGTAAAGCGCCAACTCTTGGCTTCGGCTCAGGTCATGATCTCACATTTCGTGAGTTCGAGCCCCGCGTCGGGCTCTGTGCTGACTGCCGGCTCGGAGCCTGGAGCCTGTTTCAGAGTCTGTGTCTCCCTCTCTCTCTGACCCTTCCCTGCTCACGCTGTCTCTCTCTCACTCTCTCTCTCTCTCTCTCTCTCTCCTAGAAATAAATAAAAATAGAAAAAAAATTAAAACATAAGCTTCTAGTCATACAATCTGTACTAAAAAGGAAGTAGGGCTTGTTAGCGTGGACCACTTTCTGATTATTTCGCCGCATCTCACGGTTCTCTTGCTCTTGCTTACGAACGTCTGCTGCGTCCATGGTGAGAAACCACCCACCGCTGCCCAGGAGCCGCTGCCCAGCCCCTCGCCCGGCGCCCGCCCTCGAGGCAGCCTCACAGGGCAGCGGCCGAGGCTGGGGGTTGGGCCCCGGCCGGCACGTGGCCGCCCCTTCTCACTTCAGGCCTCGTCCTGGATGCTGCGTCCCCCTTCCTGCCCGAGGACTTAGAGACACGGCAGAGAGGGAGGCACGGCCTCTGTTGCCAAGGAGGCCGTGGGGGGGGTGCTGGTCGTGAGAAAGAGGGCTCCCCTCTCTGAGCCTGCAGCGTGCCTGGCACAGAGCCCCCCCCCCCCCACCTGTGCGCTAGCAAACATAAAACCAGACCATGGGGCTCAGTCGGTTGAGCGTCTGACTTCAGCTCAGGTCATGATCTCACGGTTCGTGGGTTGGAGCCCCGCGTTGGGCTCTGTGCTTATGGCTCAGAGCCTGGAGCTGCTTCAGATTCTGTGTTTCCCTCTCTCTGCCCCTCCCTCGCTCCTTCTCTCTCTCTCTCTCAAAAATAAACATTTACAACATTAAAAAAAAATAATAATACAAATAAGACCAGACCAGACAAACACATGGCACCAAATATTCGCCCGGCTGGATGAAAGGGGAGCACGGTGTTTGTAAGCAACCCCAGCGGCCTTTCGGAGCTCGGTCAGTTTGGTGGAGCTGGTGTCTGGGGCTTCCTTTCCGGGCGATCGCTGGACGGGGCTTCCCTGAGCACGTGCTGTGTCGGGACAAGCATTCGCCACGTGTTAAGTCTCAGGAGCCTCCCACCCTTTCCTGGGTGAGGCCACTGCAGCCACCACGGGCGGCCCCACGGTCTCGGCGCGTCACGGTGGCTGAGTCTGTTTGATCCCTAAGCTCGCACCCAGGCAGCCGTAAGTGATTGGGCAGTTCCCGCCCTGCCCAGGGGTGCCCGCCCAGCGGAGGGGGCGGTGAGGGGGTGCAGCAGGAGGAAGGGGTGCCTCTCCGTGATGCGTGCTGCCCCCCAGGGCCCCTCCACGTGGGGGAGGGGCTTCTGACCCTGTAGGAGCCGGGAACCAGCCTGCCCTGTGCCTCAGTTTCCCCACTATGTCCCCAAGCTCGTTCCCTTCCCCCTTGTTATTTCTGTGAGCTCCAGACTCTTCTACTGAATCGTATGTATTTATGTTTGCTAAGTTAGCAAGCGTGAGAGGCAGGAGTCTCTCAGACACGATGGTATCTCCCTGGCGGTGGCGGGGGGGGGGGGGGGCACGCTCAGCCGACACCCAGGACATCACGATGAGGACACTTGGGGGTGAGGTGGGCGCCCCCTGAGCCCAGGGTGGCCGGGGAGGAGAGGAGAGACCCAGGAGCAGACACGCAGGGGGGAGGCCAAGTGAAGACAGGCGGAGACTGGAGGACAATGTCTCCAAGCCAAGGGACGGCAGCGTCGTGCTTCTAGAAGAAACCAGCCCCCCCAGCACCTCGATTTCCGCCTTCTGGCCCCCAGAGCCGTGGGGCAGCACACCCAGCTTGTGGGGTTTCTCAGAGCCGCCCGGGGGCACCCCTGCGGTCCGCTCCTGGGAACCAGCCTCACCAGCTTCTATCGCTTGCAGCCAGCAGCCCTGACGGACATTTCCCGGGTGAGGAAATCGAGGCCCCGGGTGACTGGCCCCTGCCGCTCCGGCTGGGGACGGGCGGAGTGATCATTACACCCGCGGAGTCCTGGGGACGCGCCTCGCCCCTTGGGAGATGTGAGCTCGCACCCAGGACCCCATCGTCAGGACCTCTAGCGTGCCTCCACCCAGAGGAGGGGGGGCTGCTCGTGGGCCCTGGGGTGTTCACGGCCACGGCTCTGCGGGTCCTGCCTGGGGGCGGGAGAGGGGAGGGGACACGCCGAGCTGAAACGACCCCACCGTGGGCTTGCCCGTAGCCCCGTGTCCGGCACAGAGCCCGGCATGTCACGGGCATCCGGAAACATTTTCGGAACGGCGTGGGGGGCGATGAGCCGGCTGGGCGGGCAGTAGACGGAAGGAAGGAAAAGTCAATGGACGGTGTGATTTGGGGGCGACCTTGGGCGAGTCACTTTCTTCTCTCTGGACCCGGGTTCCCCGTCTGAGGTGCGAGTCCTGAGATCAATCCCAGGTAGCAATGATCGAGGGAAGACGCGTCCGGGGCGATCGTGTGTTTATCATCCGGGAGTGGAGGAAACCCGCCTGACCGTCCAGCGCAGCACCAGTCAAATGGCCGATGCCAGAAAGGTCCGGAAACTCAGAAGGCAAAATGCAATGTGACCAATCCGTGCGGCAGAATATCATTCAGCCATAAAAATGGGGGTGAAGTTGTCACACTTGCTGAAGTGCAAGAGGCCAGTCTCAAAGGGCCACATCCCGCAGGAACTACCTGCACGACGTTTCCAGAACAGGCAAATCTGCAGACACAGACGGTAGATTGGAGGGCGCTGGCTGGAAGGGAATAAGGATGGAATTTCTGCCTGGGCGATGGAGGAATTTAGGAAATAGGTACAGGCGCTGATTGCACAATATTGAGGATTTAACTGGTGCCACTGAATCGTACACTTCAAAAACGGTTAAAATGGCAAATGTTATACGTAAAATATGTATTAATTTAAAATAATTTAGAAAATGGAACAGTGGAAACCCAAGGTGCATCTTAGGGTCTCCACGAGACCCCCGTGGCTGGGACCCCGGGCTGGTCCCCTCTGTGTCCCCGACACCCCAGGCCAGCGCACCCACGCCCGGTCGTAGCTGGTCTTAGCTTCGCAGCCTTCTCAGGTTCCCTTAAACGTTTTCATCTCATCTCGGACTCCCCCTAGCATTTAGCCCCGTTATTATTTTGCATGATTTTTTAAATTGTGGCTTTAGTTTTTCACTGATTTTGCAGATGACCCCCCCAAAAAAGGTGATTTGTTTGCTTTATCTGTGTGACGTCCCTTTGTCCCTTTGGTCCCACTTGGTGTTTGTCCCGGAGCTGAGCCACGTGCAGGGACGGACATCTTCTGGTGCAGCTCAGTGCTCCTTGGAGCCAGGCTGCCTGGCATGTAGTCGGCCTGGGGCCTCTGTCTGAATGTACCATTAGATGAATGAATAAATTACATTAAAACCTTCCAGAACAGGGTGGAAGGGGATAGAAAGTTCCAGAAGGGGATAGAAAGTTCCAGAAGGGGATAGAAAGTTCCAGAAGACTTCCTGGTGTGCAGCAGGGCTCGTGGACCCCAGCTAAAGGAGCTGGTCAGTTTGCTGACAGCATGCACTGAGGTGAGGTCATCCCTGGAGTGAGATCCGGGGTTTTGCGTGTCTCTCGGAGGAAGTCCCTCGCGGTGCGCCCAGTTCTGCTCCCAGAGCCTGGCGCGGAGGCCCCAGGGCGTCAGGAAATGGCATTCATCAACACACACAGAGCTCTGCGCCTCTGTTCCAGGGACAGACGTATTTTTAGATTTTTTGACGTCCAAATTCCAGAGGCAGAGCAAGCAATGCTTAGAGGAAAACTGGCTTTCTTCCGGCGCCAAGCAAATCAGTCCTGGGGCGCACTTTTATGGGTCTGGCCGTTAAGTCGCTGGAACATTCCAAAGAAGGGTAAAGCTCTTGCACGCGGAATAAAGTGGGTGGAGAGCACAGAGGGACGGATATGGGTAAATTGGGGCG